AGACCTTATTCTGTCAGACCCTCAGGCTAGTGGGAATGCATCCAGTATTATGGCCAAGCAGGTTGCAATCAAATAACATACTTCCAAGTCTTCACTTGTCATACCTGTTATGAGGGATGTGGGTACCTGGTTCCTGGGTCAATATGAATGCCTCTAGGACCTTGTTAAATAGGGATTTTACTGGGACCAGGGTCCACATCAGGACCAGAATTGTATCTGCAGATTCAGGTCTGTTACCAGGTTCATGGGCAGATGTGATTCCTGCTGAGTGCCTGGGAGGGATTATGCTGGCTCATTGGGTTCCTGAACAAGCATAACTGTCCCTAGGTCATGCCTGAGTGGGCTGGAAGCAAGTCACAGGACTGCTTCAGGGTTTACAGCTGGAGCCAATATCAGCAGCTCAGCCTTTGGATGTACAGATGAGTTCATCTCCCATTGAATTGTTAGGTGGACGTAACTACCCTCAAAACTCAGCTGAGATAGATTGGAGCACAGTTGCATACCTTTGTTAGTATATTCTATGGGAATAAACTCAGTGGCCTGCCCCTGGGGACATGAGTGAGCATGTCTCTTTCTGGTTGTCTGGGCAACCTGAATGACTCCCAGATCATGGCTGAGGGGGTCTAGAGCTGGGTTGCATAGATACTTCAGGATCTGTATTTGAATGACTGCCATGCCTATGTCAGGCATGTAGGTAGGTGTGTCTACTGCATTGTTCTTGTGTGGGCAGAACTATGGGAGGTGCTTTAAGTGGGTCATAAGCTACTTTGATGTCCACATGTGGGACTGAGTCAGCAGGTCTATGATTCTAGGCATGGGTGGGTGTGACTCTTCCCACATAGTAGACCAAGAGGCTATATCAAAACCAAGGGAGGAAGGGCTGTTTCTAGATCTTTAACTGGGGCCATGTTCCATGATCTTGCCACCTGTGCATGGGTCTGCCTTTTCAGAATAACCCTCCTCAGTCTAAGGTTCCATTGGGGTTTCACAGCTTCCCACTTGGATCTCAGAGCTCCCATATAAACCTTTTTCCTCACAATATCTACCAAATTATTGTTGCTAAGGGGAGATACAAGCAGAGGCCCTCTTCTGTCATCTGTTGACATCACTCCAAAAAATTCACTTTTAAAACAGATGCCATTAACTGCTGAGAGTAAAATAGCTATCACTCTAGAATTATATACCCCAAATAAGCTAACTAATCTTTTCATCTAGCAATTCCATTCCTAGGTATATACAAAACAATGCACTGAGCATTATGACCTAAGTGTAAATGATTAGTAGGAAAGGTGTAAATGAATTATGATTTATATGTGATGAAAAACAAAGAGCAGGTAAAAGGAATAACCTAGGCTAATATATCTCAAGATATATAATGTTGAAAAAAGCGGAGTAGCATATTATATATTTTAAGTCCAACATGAAAAAAATTTATCATTTGTGGATATATATTTATGTTGTAAAATATCACAAAACACATGAGAGTGGAGTATATCAATTTTCAGGTTGGAGTTATCTGTGGGGAAAAAAGGAAAGATGTGAGACTGGGGTATATTTGGGGGGGGGGTCTTCCATTGTATTTCTTCTATATTTTTAAGTACTGAAGTAAATAGCAAAATATCCAGATTTGCTATAGCAAAATAGCAGGTACATGGGGGAACCTTTAGGTTTCTCAGTGGATTTCAAATATGGTACAATAAAAAATGGGAAGCAGAGAGGTGACTGTGTATATAGCACCTAGATGGGCGTGGTGGCCTGTCTATCTTTATGAGGTGTCACAGAGAGTGACGCAATAGAAGAGTCACAGGCTTTTCAAAATTTGCTTACTCACAGTTGCCCCCTTGAAGGAGAAATACCTGTGAAGTAAGAAGACCTAAAACAAACCAAAAACTATTATGGGTAGCTTCATTTTTTCCATAAAATAGGAAAGAGACAACAAATGGTATCTTTCATTCCATGAGCTCTATGCTACTTGGTGGGGGAAGATGAATGGCAGAACAAAAATGAGAAGGGGTGCACGGTTTTTTCGAGGTCATTCAGAAGAAACTGGCAGCAGTGCAAGTTTTAATGTTTTGCTCTCAGAGCATGAAAACCCTGATGGAAATGGGTATGTAACTTCACAGAATGGTTTCTGTAAGAGCTTATGTTGTACATGTCATGTGTGAAGTTTGTGCCCTGTTTACCTGGAAAATAACTGAACAGATGTTGTTACTTCCTTTTAGAGAAAATCATTTCCAGTTTCTATCAGTCACCATGTTTCCTGTGGCATGCTCTCTTCTTTCTATGTCAGTGGTATTTAGATTAATTACAGAAGTCTGGAGACAAGGACTATGAAAGAGAAGCCATATTTTTAAAAAATGAACCTCAGCAGCAGTAATTTAAACCTTAGAGATGACTCAATTTTCACTGAAGGCCTAACTATCCAGTCTCTGTGGTATACAGAGCTCAATGCTGGACAGAAAGTGCTAGCTATAGAGTGGTGTTTGTTACACTCTCAGATGAGAATTGACTAAACAGCTTGATAGTGGATACACATTTTGGGCTAATAATTGAGTTTCCCCTAGTAAACATTACACAGTGCCTGGACAGAGTTTGCAGGGAAGCCCTGTCCACTTGGATGAGCCAATTATGCTGCCTGATGGGACAAGAAAACTGAAAATGATGAAATAACCATCCCAATAGTACCAATAAAGCACTTGCATAGAAACAAAACTGTGTTTAAAAAAATGCTGAATTAATCTTTGATAAATATTGTAATATAATAATTTTAATCAAACCAGTCCTCCAGCAGAGACCATAATTAACCTTTGAATACCTTTCTTTAGATAGTGGGCTCTACCACTTCCTATATGACCAGTAATAATTAAAGGATTGAATGATTTCAAGAACATACTTTCTGGAAGTAAGAGTGAGGAAAACTCTCTTAGCTACTTTGGGGGAGGTGAGGCACTTAGAACTTCTGTTAAGGAATTGGGTGACTCTAAATCTCCCTGTGTATTGAAGCTGTAGGTTTGCAAAGCTCAACTGACATTATAACTCAAGAGCAGATCAGTAAAGAGTAAATTTGTACAACATTTCATCAAGTAACTCAAAAAACATTAAGTAATCTGTTTAATGATAGTTGAACATAATTAAGTAAAATTTAAGGAAATACTCGTATCTAAATATGAATCACATCATTTCCAGACTTTAAGGTTATCTTCTTAGACATTCCTTATAGACCTGGGCAAGGAATTGTGCTTTTCAGTTGATGGAGACTAGTTCAGAGCCAGTAGGTGAACCAAGGTGCTGAGAGAATTGATGTTCTGGGAGCAGTCACCAATCTTTCCTAAATTGCGACACAGATCTTCCCCTGTTGCTTTCAACTTACAGCCTTGTGTTCTAGCTCAAATTATTTAAGCAACCCCTTTTTCCTTTAGTACTTTTTTAAAAGGTTGAGTGTGAAGGTTGGTGATGTCACTTAGTGGTAGAGCATTTGCCTAGCATGCATGAGACCCTGCATTTTATCCTTAAATCCACCAAAAAAAAAAAAAAAGTTGAATGTGAAAAGGTTCTAATTACAACTGCTTTATAAAACTGCTTGGCAAAATCTGCTGCAGTTAAATATGTACATATGTCTCAGCAATTCCTCTCTTGGAAATATACCTAAATGACATGCATATAGATGTTCATCAACAAATCATGTATGAGAATGTCCATAGTAGCATTGCTTAAGAATATTTGTTACAGAATTGTCCTAGTCCCAAATGCCCATCGATATTAGAATAGGCATCTGGGTTATATCCACATGGTGGGAGATTAGAGAGTCATGAGGATATAACCTCATGAGAATGATTGAAAACACAACAACACACAGCGGAGAAATGACTTACAAGCATATGCTGAGGAAAGGCAGACAGAGCACATACACACCGGAGTACCACCTAGGTACATGACAAAACTGAGCACACCTAGTTGGGATAGAGCTCAGGAGAGCTGTTACCTTCAGAGGTAAAAGACATAGATATGAGAGGGCTTTCTGATGGACCGGGTATATTCATCTATGTGAGCTATGATTTTAAAAACCAGAGACTGGAAGAGTTTAACAGAAGAAATTAATTTTCTTAGAGTTTTGGAGCAGAGATCAAGATTTCAGTTGATTTAATCTCTGGTGAGGACTCCTTTCCTGCCTTGCAGACAGCCACCGCTGCTTGTGTCCTCGTGTGGCCCTTCTTTTGTGTGCACAGAGACAAAGTGCTCTGGACTCGTCCTCTTCCCCTTCCTCTAAGGACATCAGCCCTATCCATTTAGGGCCCACTCAGATGAACTCATTTAACCTTAATTAGACCCTAAAGATCCTGCACATCCCCTATGGCCATTTACAGATTCTGTCTTCAAATATAGTCACACGGTTGGGGGAGTGCTTCAACATCTGCATGCAGGCGGGCAGGAGTGCAATTAGAGTCCACAGCACTGAGGAGGCTCTACTTATAGTTCTGGGTGAGGTGCATGGATATGTTCATTCTAGGAAGGTTCATTGTGCTATACAATTATTATTTGTGTATTTCTGTGTGCATGCTATCTATATCTTAATACAAAGTTGAAAGAGGCTTATGATGACTTAAAAATTTATAAAATAATTTTTATCATTGTACTTTAGTTTAATATCTAATTCCTGCGAAATCAAAGCCATACTTGAGACTTTCAGGATACCTGTCTTCATTTTTTTCTCATCAGCATTTAAAGAATATAGATAGGCATATAATGTGACCACAGTTATATATGTGTGAATAAGGACCTTGAAAGTATGGATGTGTGTACCTTAAGAAAATTATTTTCTCTCTATTTCAAGAATAATGGATTAGGGATTAAGTTAACTCACAGAATCTATGTAGAATAAGCATGAATGTGAATAGCAAGCGTGTTTACTTGGGGAGTAGTGGCTAAAGTCCAAGTTAAAGCTTAATAGTAATGGATTACACTGTAAAATTCTTCTCTTTTATTTTTTACTGGCTTTTTTTTTGTAGGTTAACTCGATCATGGAAGATTATCTTAAGTATAATATGTATATTTACTTTTCTTCTTGTGGGTAAGTCTTAACTAATGATCCTTAAAGCAGTTTCACAGGATATATCTGTACAGTAAGAGAGATCTCAGTGGAATGGCTTATATTTGTAATTAAGTGCCACAGAAAACAATGTAAGGGAACTGCACATTTTGGAAGCATTTTTTCTTTTCTTTTTTTTTGTCTCTCATTGTAAAAGAAATATGTTTATTTATAGAAAACTTTAAAAAGTTTTTTTTCTCTTAGAATTGTAGTTTAAAATAACAGAAGTTGCTATAAAATTTAGAGTCCTTAATACATTTATTGCAAATACATTTTACATTTTCTAAAGTTGGGTGGCTCAGTTTGGACAACCAAAGACTTAGTCATCACATGGTTCCAAAGATATTGCTGTTTTACATGCAGTTTTTGGCTTTTGACTCACCAGTATTACAAATCACAACCCTTGGACATTAGAAAGTTTCTCTTGAATGTGTTGACAACTTAAGATATGGAATTCCTACTGAAACCAGGGTTTCAACTTGGTTATTTCCACAAAATGTTATTTATAATATAGCAGTATTCTGTGTGCTGTTATTGTTTTTGTTGTTGTTGCTTATGTATACCTGAACTGCTGCCTTAGCCTGACCCTACATCAGCTCAAAGTGAGCATGGCTGCATCCTCTATCTGTAGCTTTAGTGAACTGAAAGCACCCCTCCTAACTCAGGGGATCTCTACTAGGTCTTGAATGTTCTTGTTTCTGGTAAGAACTGCACACTTCTTGACTTGCTTTGTTTCCTGGCTGTCTTTTCTTCATCTCAGTTAACCTTGAAACTGTTACCTTCATCTTTTCTTCCCCCTCTGGTTGCTGCTACCACTGTCTTGTCATCCTTGTGGATGAAATATCCTCACAGGTCTGGCTCAGGCTCATATGTAGTGATATAAACCTGTTTTATTATGGCTCCACTTCAGTGCCTGACTTAGGTGCACACAGTGTGGGAAGTAGAGCTTTTTATGTTCAGAATATTTCTCACTCTAGAAATTATATTTTATTTTCGTCTGACATCTGTGTTGTGTTATCATGACAATATACCTAAGATAATCAACTTAAAAGAAGAAAGGTTTGTTTTAAGCTTATTAATTTCAAAAGTTTCAGACAATGACCAGTTTGCCCATTGCTTTTGGGCTGATGACAAGGCAGTACATCATGGTGGGAGCATGTGATAGAAGAAACTGATGATCTCATGGTGTCCAGGAAGTGAAAGAGAGAGAAAAGATAGGCCTTGGCCTTTGGGGAACACTTATACAAACTGTAGCAACATCTTGTAAGATTCACATATATCTTGGATACAAACTGCTTATTTTTATTTTCTTAATTTCAAGCTGGCTAATTTACCAACAAATGTGCTAGATTCATTTTAGATCCTACTGATGCATTAATGATTCCAGTAGGATTAAGTTGGATTCTGATACTCTTGTTCTGTACTGAGATGAAATTACATAATATAAAATTAACTATTTTTTTAAAGGGAATACCATGCTCCAAACATTTTTTATTTTTATTTATTTGTTTTTATGTGATGCTGAGGATCAAACCCAGTGCCCCCCACATGCCAGGCAAGCACTCCACCACACCACTGAGCTACAACCCTAGCCAAATTAACTATTTTTGAATGAATAATTCAGAGGCATTTAGTACAATCACAATATTGTATAATCACTTCCTCTCTGTACTAACTAAACATATTCATCCCTCCCAAAGGAATCACCCTGTACCAGATGAGCAGTTTGCTCCCCATTTCCCCCCTACTCAGACCCTGGTAGCCACCAATCTGTATTCTGTCTCTAAGCACTTACTTCTTTTGGAATCATACAACATGTGTCCTTTCTTGTCTCATTTCTTTAGTTTAGCATAATATTTTGAAGGGTCATGCATATTGTAGGGTGTATCAGTCAGTCCTTCATTCATTTTCATATCTAAATAATACTTCGTTATATGTATGTACTGCATTTTATTTATCCTTCTATCTACTGATGGACACTTGGACTATTTCCACCTTTTGGTTATTGTGGATAGTGGTGCTATTGTGGATAGTGGTGTTTGTTTGAATATCTGCTTTCTTTTGAGTGCATACGTAACAGTGGAGTTGCCAAGAAAGAACTGGCAGACTGTTTTCCACAGTGGCTGCACCACTATGAATTCCCACCAGCAGTATATGATGAGCCTGATTGTTCCACATCTCTCCAATTCATTTTATTTTCCGTTTATTTTTTGTGATATCCATCCTGGTAGATATGCAAAGGTATCTCACTGTGGTTATGATTTGCATTTCCCTAATGACTAAAGTTAGACATCTTTTCTTTTTTTATTTGTTCTTTTTATTTATTTATTTTTTATTTTTTATTGTTGGTTGTTCAAAACATTACAGAGTTCTTGATATATCATATTTCACACTTTGTTCTTTTTTAGATATACATGACAGTAGAGTGTATCTTGACATTTTATACATATATGGAATATAACTTATTCTAATTAGGATCTCATTTTTATGGTTATTCCTGATGTGGAGTTGTGCTGGTGATATATTCACATATGAACATAGAAAAGTTATGTCTGATTCCTTTAACTGTCTTTCCTATTCCCATTTCCCCTCCCTTCCCTTCATTCCCCTTTGTCTAATTCAATGAACTTTTCTTCCATTCCCACTCCTTGTTGTGTGTTAGTATCCACATATCAGAGAACATTTAGCCTTTGGTTTTTTGGGATTGGCTTATTTCACTTAGCTTTATAGTCTCTAGATCCATCCATTTACTGGCAAAAGTCATAAAGCCATTGATTTTTATGGCTGAGTAATATTCCATTGTGTATATATACCACATTTTTTCTTTATCCATTCATCTACTGAAGGGCATCTAGGTTGGTTCCACAGCTTCGCTATTGTGAATTGTGCTGCTATAAACATTGGTATGGCTGTGGCTGTGTCACTGTAGTATGCTGATTTTAAGTCCTTTGAGTATATACTGTGGAGTGGGATAGCTGGGTCAAATGGTAGTTCCATTTCAAGTTTTCTGAGGAATTTCCATAGCGCTTTCCAGAGTGGTTGCACTATTTTGCAGTCTCACCAGCAATGTATGGGTGTGCCTTTTCCCCACATCCTCCCCAACATTTATTGTTGCTTGTATTCTTTATAATTGCCATGCTGACTGGAGTGAGATGGAATCTCAGTATAGTTTTAATTTGCATTTCTTCTATTACTAGAAATGTTGAACATTTTCCCATATGTTTGTTGACCATTCATATTTATTCTTCTGAAAAGTTCAGTTCATTAGCCCATTTATTGATTGTTATTTGTTTTTTGGTGTTGAGTTTTTGAGTTCTTTTGTATATCCTATAGGTTAGTGCTCTATCTGAGGTATAGGTGGCAAAGATTATTCTCCCATTCTGTAGGCTCTTTCTTCACATTGTTGATCATTTCCTTTGCTGTGAAGAAGCTTTTTAGTTTGATACGGTCCCATTTATTGATTCTTGATTTTTACTTCTTGAGCTTTAGGAGTGTTATTAAGGAAGTCAGTTCCTAAGCCAACATAAGTAGATTTGGGCCTACTTTCTCTTCTAGCAGGTGCAGGGTCTCTGGTTTAATGTAGTTGATCCACATTGAGTTGAGTTTTGTGCAGGGTGAGAGATAGATGTCTAATTTCATTTTGCTACATCTGAATTTTCAGTTTTCCCAGCACCACTTGTTGAAGAGAGGCTATCTTTTTACCAATGTATGTTTATGGCACCTTTGTCTAGTATGAGACTACTGTATTTATGTGGGTTTGTCTCTGTGTCTTCCATTCTGTACTATTGGTTTTCATGTCTTTTTTAGTGCCAGTACCATACTGTTTTGTTACTATAGCTCTGTGGTATAATTTTAGGTCTGGTATTGTGATGCCTCGTGCTTCAGTCTTCTCACTGAGGATTGCTTTGGCTCTTCTGGACCTCTTATTTTTCCAAATGAATTTCAAAACTGCTTTTTCTATTTCTATGAAGAATGTCATTGGAATTTTCATAGGAATTGCTTTAAATCTGTGTAGCACTTTTGGTAATATGGCCATTTTGACAACAGTTATTCTTCTTACCTAAGAACATGGGAGATAGTTTCATATTCTAAGGTTTTCTTCAATTTCTTTCTTTAGAGTTCTATTGTTTTTGATACAGAGGTTTTTCATCTTTTTTGTTATAAGATTCCCAAATATTTTATGTTTTTGATGGTACTGTCAATGGGATACTTTCCCAATTTCTCTTTCAGCTGATTTATCACTGATATTTAGGAATGCAATTGATTCATGGGTATGAATTTTTTATCTTACTACTTTGCTGAATTCATTTATGACTTCTGGAAGTTTTGAGTGGAGGTTTTTGGGTCTTCTAAACATAGAATCATGTCATCAGCAAATAGGGATAGTTTGAGTTCTTCTTTTCCTCTTCATACCCCTTTAATTTCTTTCTTCTGTATAATTGCTTTGGCTAGAGTTTCAATGACTGTGTTGAATAGAAGTGATGAAAGAGGGCATCCCTATCTTGTTCTAGTTTTTAAAGGGAGTGCTTTCTTTTTCTTTATTTAGAATGTTGTTGGCCTGGGTTTAGCATATATGGCTTTTACAATGTTGAGATATGTTTCTGATATCCCTAGTTTTTCTAGTGTTTTGAACATGAAGCAGGGCTGTATTTTAACAAGTGCTTTTTCTGCATCTATTGTGATGATCATATGATTCTTATCTTTAAGTCTATTGATATGATGAATTACATTTATTGATTTCCTTATTGTGAACCAAACTTGCATTCCTGGGATGAACCCCACTTGATCATAGTGCACTATCTTTTTAATATTTTATTAAGAATTTTTGCATCTATGTTTATCAGCGATATTGGTCTGCAGTTTTCTTTCCTTGATGTGTCTTTGTTTGGTTTTGGTATCAAGGTGTGATACTAGCTCATAGAATGAGTTGGAAGGGTTCCTTTCTTTTCTATTTCATAGAATAATTTGAGGAGAATTGGTATTAGTTCTTCTTTAAAGGTCTGGTAGAAATGTGATGATCATTACTATCCAAAGTACATGTATGAAGACACGAATTGGTGTGAATATACTGTGTATACAACCAGAGATATGAAAAATTGTACTCTATATATGTAATAAGAATTGTAATGCATTCTGCTGTCATGTATACATTTTTAAAAATTTACATTAAAAAAAAAGGTCTGGTAGAACCCAGCTGAGAATCCTTCTGATCCCAAGCTTTTCTTTGTTGGTAGGTTATTTTGTTGTTATTGTTGTTATTTAGTTGTAGATGGGTGATACCTTTATTTTGTTTATTTATTTATTTTTATGTAGTACTGGGGAACAAATCCAATGTCTCACACATGTGAGGCAAACACTCTATGGCTGAGCCACAACCCAGCCCCCATTGGTAGGTTTTTGATGGTGTTTTCAGTTTCATTGTTAAGCATCTTCTCATGAGCTTTTTGGCTATTTTCATGTGTTCCTTGAAGGCCTGTCTATTTATCTTTTGCTCATTTTTGAATTTTTTTGTCCTTCCATTGTTGAGTTGTAAGAGTTCTTTATATTCTTTGTATATTAAAACCCATCCTAGACATATAATTTGAAAATATATTTTTTCATTCTGTGAGTTCTCTTTTCACTTTTTTATAATGTCCTTGATGCACAAAAGTTTATAATTTTGCTGGTGTCTTGTCAAAGAATTGCCAAACCCCAAATCTGAATATTTATCCTGTTTTAGTAGTAGTCTTGTAGTTCTAGCCTTTATATTAGGTAATTTATCTCTTTTGAGTTTGTTTTTGTGTATATGGCAAGGTAACAGCCCAAGTTCATTATTTTGCATGTGAATATTCAGTCAACCCAGCCCTATTTATTAAAACAGATAATTCTTTTCTCATAGAAATCTTTGAATAGTATTTGCACCTTTGCCCAAAATTCACGTGGCCATAGACGTATAGATTTATTTTGGGATTCATAATTCTATCCAATTTTTCTGTGCTTCTATTATTTATACCAGTATTACATTGGTAGGATTTCAATTGGGATTGCTTTGAATCCGTAGATAGCTTTGGATAGCATTGCCATCTTAACCATAGTAAATCTTCCAGCTCATGAACATGGATTGATGGATTCCCTTTCTATTTATGTAGTTCTTTGATTTCTTTCAACAAATAGTTTTCAGACTGGGTTCTAAAATGAGTCTCATATGAGCAGTTTAATCATGTTTTTAAGTCCATTTTGACAGTCTCTACTTTTTATTTGGAGAGTTTAATTAATTTACATTTAAATTACCAATAAAGAAAGGGATTTTTGTGCCTTCTTTAAATTTTTATTTTTAATTTTAGTTTTTATTTTGGAAGTAATAGTGATTAAACCCAGGGGTGCTCTACCACTGAGCTATATCCTTGGCCCCTCTTATCCTGAGGGGCCAAGGTCTCACTAAGTTGCCAAGACTGACCTCCAATTCTCCATCCTTCTGCTTTGGCCTCCCAAGTCACTGGCATTACAAGCATGTACCACTGAGCCTCACTTTTTATTTTTTTTCTATGTTATATACTATTTTTTGTTCCTCATTTCCTCTGTTATTGCCTTTCTCTGTGTTTAATTGATTTTTGTAGTATACTGTTTTATCTTCTATTACATGTGTAGGTAATTTCTTAGTGTTTACCATGGGAGTTATATATGAACATGCTCTTCATAACAATATAATTTGAGTTGATAGCAAACAAGTTTTAATAGTATCAAAATACTCTGTTTCTCTATAACTCTTCCCCTCTTTATATTGTTAAAATTGCTTCTTTATATGCTGTGTATGCATTAATATGGACTTGTAATTATCTTTTGTACATTTGTCTTTTAAATCATGTAGGAAATTTTAAAAGGAGTTACCAACCAAAAATTCAATGATGCTGTTCTTCCTATGTTGTTACCTTTACAGAAAAATACTGAGTTCTTTATATGGAACTGAATTACTCTTTTGAACATCCTTTCGCTTCTGCCTGAAGGACTCCCCTTAGCATTTTTTAATAGGATAGGTCTAATGATAATGATGCTCTCAGATTTTTTTTCTGGGAATGTATTAAATTTTTATTTTCATTTATAAGGATAGTTTTGCTGGATATATAATTTCTATTGTTTTGGCACCCGTGTCATTATTTTTTATTTTTGGCACTTTAAATATTATATTATCTCACTGCTTTCTGTCCTCCATGACTTCTAAAGAGAAAGCAAGTGATATTCCTACTGAGAAGGCATTTCTCTCTTGCCATTTTCAGGTTTCTTTCTATGTCTTTATCTTTTAACAGTCTAAGTGTAAAGTGTTGTCTTGTGGATATTTTTGAAGTTTGTCTATTTGGAGTTTAATGAACTTCTTGAATGCATGGATCATGTTTTCCATAAAATTTGGAAAGTTTTCAGCCATTATTCCTTTACATATTCTTTCTGTCCCTTTCACATTCCTCCTTCAGGGACTGCCACAGTGCCTGTGTTGATCTTTTTGTTCCTTAGACTACAGAATTTCAAGTTCTGTAGTCTACAGCTTCAAGTTCACTGTTTTGTTTTTTTTCTCCCATCTCAAATCTGTTGTAGATCAGGATTCTAGAGTTAATCCTTTTAGTCTTTTTGTGCTCTGATTGTTTCTGTGGATGACTGATTCTTTGAATGTCCTGTTCTGCCATTTTCTATGTTGTTACCCAAGGACCTTATAGAGTATCTATTTGCCTTATCTATCTATGTCCTCCTGCTTAGGAAAAATACTGTTAATGCATGTGAAATATTTACAGATAAATTCTTTAACCAGAATTGTCTTTTCTGTAACAGGACTTCTAAACCATCATTGGCTTAAACAAACAGAGTTTCATCAGAAATCCAGTCAATTATATGCCATGATTGCAGAATATGGTTCAAGACTTTATAATTACCAGGTGATGCTTTTTTAAGTTATTGTTGTATGTCACTCTTTTAAAACTTAATATGCTACAGGACGGGTCTAGCTTGCAGTATGTGATTTGGTTTTGTGTGAGACTATCTTATAGAAATAATATATGAAGAAGAGTTCTTTTAAGTGGCCCTTTCCAAAGAGGCCCTAAAATTCTCCACAGCTTCTGATCCTTACAAGTACCCCACTAGAAGCTCCAGCATAAAGAAAAATGGCAGATCAATCTTTATTGTTAAATTTTCTGATACTCTGAGCAGTATAGTATTTTCTTTCACCCTGAAGCTAGTTTGATCTCAGTGGGTTTAGATGGAGGCCAGTCCTTGACTATCTATCCTCTTCTGGTCCACCCTAGCCCAAGCACACCTCCCTAACATTTCACACTGAGCTTTATCCATTCTGTACTTAGACCTCAGAAAACGTGAGGGAAAAAGTTGATGGATCCTTGGCCTGGTCTCCACTGCACCATGGGAAGAGGCAGACGAATTGACTTGCGTCCACACATGTGCTGACCTTTTAACACAGAGGTGGCTCCATCCTGATCCTGGACCTGAGTGCTTAGATATACTTCCTGCCCTTTTCCCTAAGGCAGGTCTTCTGACATCCTCTACTTCCCAGTTCATCCAGAAATGGTTATATTCCAATGTGTTTTGCCATGTGGAAACCCTAAGGAAAGGCAATTGCACAGGTATGGTTCCTGCAGGATTCAAGGCCAGTGAAACATTTCCCTGGAAGTTCATAGGATGACACCTGGAATCACTCCAAATCATAAAAATGTTTCTCTTTGTATATTCTAAGAATCTCTGAGCCCAAGTCCTGGACAAAAGTACAGTCTTGTGGAAACTCCACATGGAGTCAGCCTCTGACAGATGGGCATCCTCACAGCAAAGACCAGAACCCAAGCCATTGGGAGATGGGCCAGATAGTTAGCTCATTCCCAATAAAACAGAGATGAACATTCAGGGTGGACAGTAGAGGATCCAGTTATTGTCTGTTTATGACTTACCCTCATTGTGAAGGTTAATTTTATGTCTTCTTGGCTAAGCCACATTGCCTCAATATTTGCTCAAGCCCAGTGTAAATGTTACTATGAAGGAGTTTTTCAGATCTGATTAGCATGTAATCAATAGGCTTTAAATAAAGGAGATTACCCTCTCTAATATGGGTGGGCTTTATCCAGCCAGTTGAGTAGCTCAAAAGAAAAAAAGAAAAAATGAGATCTCCTAGGGAAGAGGGAATTCTGCCCCCATATGATCTTTTTTAAATTTTATTTATTTTATTCATTTTAGTTGTTGATGGACCTTTATTATTTATTTATATGTGGTTCTGAGAATCGAACCCAGTGCCTCACACATTTGAGGCAAGCACTCTACTACTGAACCTCAACCCCAGCTTCTCTCCATATGATCTTTAAACTTGAACTACAGCATCAACTCTTCCCTGGATCTCCATCCTGCCAATTTTCCCTAACAATTTCAGACTTGCAAACCCCACAATTGCATGACCAGTTCCTTAAAAGAAAATCACACACATACACCCCAGATTAGTTCTGTTTTTCACATTCATAAATATGTCTGGCAGGTTAAATATGTCTGGCAGGTGCTACTAGGGCCTGAGTATTGGGTAACCCCTCTGATCAGCATCCTCAACAGTGTTCTCCCTTTAAAAAGTGCCTAAGGCTCTAAGGGCAGTATTTTTATGATACTGAAGTTGAGGATTAGTTACAATCGTTTCACTTTTGCCCAGTGTTATGCTGGTTTTCACACACACAAAAGCCATCAGAAATCACTGGGGACTGATTGTGACTTAGTTCTATGTGAGCACTTTATAGATCCCAAGCTACATGCAGTAGATGCTGTTCCATAGCTTGCTTTGGTCAGCTTAATAACAATAGATTACACATGTCCCCTGTCTTTAGACATTATTTTATAATATCATTTTATGGCTTATAAATAATATTTTCAGTTTATACTTATATCTGCACAATTGAACTGTTTCTAATTTTTCAGTATTATAAACATGAACATCTTGTGGCTAAGTGTCTTCAATCATCTTTGATTATTTACTTAGGATATGCTTCTTTTTTTGTTCAAATTACTTATACATGATAGCAGAATGCATTTCGATTCATTGTATACAAATGAAAAACAACTTTTAATTTCTCTGGTTGTACATGATGTAGAGTTGCACCATATGTGCAGTCATACATGTACCTAGAGTAATGATGTTCATCTCATTCCACCATTTTTCCTGTCCCCTGCCCCCTCCCCATCCCTCCCTCCCCTTTGCCCAATCAAAGTTCCTCCATTCTCCCCCCACCATTATGGATCAGCATCCACTTATCTGAGAGAACATTCAGCCTTTGGTTTTTTTGTTTGTTTGTTTCTTTCTTTTTTGGAATGACTTACTTTGCTTAGCATGATATTCTCCACCTCCATCCATGAACCTGCAAATACCATAATTTTATTCTCTTTTAATCCTGAGTAATATTTCATTGGGTATATATACCACAGTTTCTTTTTCCATTCATCTATTGAAGGACATCTGGGTCGGTTCCACAGTTTAGGTATTGTAAATTGAGCTGCTATGAACATTGTTGTGGCTGTGTCACTATAATATACACTTCTAAAAAAAGGATAAACATGGAGTATTTGCAATCCTGAGGTAATCTTTTTTATGTTAATGACTTAATACACCTTTTCAAAAAAGCTAGATATGCTTCCTACTCTCCCACCATGAAGAACAGGATAACAGTCATGCATCCGAACCAGTCCTAAGCACATCAAATACATGTTTCACTTTAGCCTCAAAACGACCCTTTAAGAAAAGTCTTACTAGATCCATGAATAAATTAGGAAGCTTGTATCAAAGCAAGGAAATGCAGCAGCCTGAGGTTGAACAGCTACAAATCCTGAAGCTGAAATCTAAACACAAGACTTGGCTGCGACTCAACCTGCCAACTGCTCCCTGCTTACATGAAGGATGAAATCTTATTGTCACACACAGTGTAGCCTCAGAAACCATAGACTTACTGTCTCCAGGATGAATTTAAGACCATGATTTCAAATTATTTGCTCCATCATTTAACTGGTTTATATCTAAAGCCCCACATTAAGCAGCAAGCTTAATTATTTACCCAGGGACACAGACTGCAATCATTATGTCTTCTAGTATTCACCTGGAAATTATACAGTTTAAAATTAAACATCTTAATGAATTTTGTAGTGAGAATAAAATTAACATTCATATGGCCAAATTTCATACACCTTACTGAATTTATCTAAGCTAAATTATCAGAGCTATGTTTTAAGGCATAAAATGTTGGGTTAGCAGTCAACATTATCTTAATAAAGCAAAACAGTACTGGGGCTATAGTTTAGTAGCAGAGCGGTTGCCTAGCATTACCCAATACTAGGGAAGATTTTTAAAAAGGCTAAGCAAATAAAGCTGAGGCTCTCTCTGCCTGTGGCCTTCTCTTGGCTGCCTCCACTTGCTGCCTTTATACCCCAGGAGGCTGTAAATCCTCTATCTGTTCAATTGGCTGCACATGCAGACAGATTCTCTCTTAATTCATGATTAGAATTAACTACAGGAGTTCTGCCAGGAGTCCATCTTTATTGCAGAAACAGTTTTCCTGCAGGGTGTGCATCTTGGATGCTGTGGCTGTCTTACATTCTTGGGGATTTGCCTTTGTGGTGAGGCTGCCTATCCACAGGGAGGGACAGAAAGGACAGGTTCTTAGAAAGCTGAACATCAGTCCTATTTCCAGAAGTGTTGCAGAGGGATTACAAACTGTACACAAAGCAGCCTCTGCAGTATTTTTCTTTTTAAAAAAAATTTTGCGGTACTAGGAATAGTACCCAAAGCCTTGGGCATGTTAGGCAAGTGCTCTGTCATGGAGCTACACCTTCAGTCCTGAATCTGTTTCTGTTTTATACACTGTGGATTTTGATCATTCCTATTCCCACTCGAGTTAGCTGCCATGATTCTCAGAAACAAATTTATGACCCATAGCTAATGACTTCTAAGAATTTAAGACCCATGTATGTTCAAACATGCTTCTAGCATCATTTTACTTTTCCAACCTTTATTTTCTCTTTGCTTTTATGTCCTTGTTTATTTTTTGTCCTGCATGTTTTTATTCTACACACACACACACACACACACACACACACACCTTCCTATAATGGATAAAACCTGAAAAGCTTTTGGGAATGGAGCAAAATACAAACGTTTTAAAAACTGTAGAAAGTTTTATTGTTTAAGGAGCTCTCAAATTCATTTATCAGAAAATTAATTAAGGAGTCTTTTCTATAATTCTTTTAAGGCCAGAACAGAAGAAAGAAACATTGAAAACACAGCCCCTACTGATAGGGAACTTACTCAAACAAACTGAAAAGCTAGAAATGAGAATTTCTACCTAGCTATAATAAGCTCCCAAATCCACATCCCTGTCAAAAGAAAAATGTTGAGGAGAGCCTATAAAAGATTGTATTGTTCAGCAGGGGAGAAAATGCCAGGTAGTTTTTTTCCTGGGTGACACCCTGCATTCCATCCTGACGCCGTTATCACACATTGCACAACAGCATTTGTAAAATGTCCCTCTGTGTTTCACGGAGCAAACTGAGAAAAACTGATGGGAACTGAGATTCTTTGTAACAAAAAAGCAAATTAATCAGAGAAGAAAGATGGAGCAATATTTCCCAGATAACATTGTGTGTGTTAGGGGAGAAGGGGGCTGGTGATTAAACCCAGGGTTTTGTGCATGGTAGGCAAGTGCTTTACACTAAGCCAAAACTCCCAGGCCCAGATAACATTGATGTTTTCTGTAGGGAGTTGAAAGGTGACCCCCTCAAAAGATAAGTCTACATCCTAACCCTCAGAGTCTGAGTGACTTTAATTTGGAAAAAGGGATCTTTGCAGTTGTAATTAATATTCAATCAACCTGGATAATGGGCCTTGAATCCAACAAGTGTCCGTATAAAAGACACATGGAGGAGAGAAACATGGAGAATAGAGGCTGAGACTGGAGTGATGTAGCCACAATCAAGAATGACAAGAGCCCTCAGAAGCTGGAGGAAATAAGAAACAACTCTCCCTGAGGGCCTTTCAAAGATACCCTGTTGGCACCTTAATGTCTAACTCCTGGCCTTCAGAAACAACTGTGAGAGAATACATTTCTGGTGTTTCAAGCCTCCCATTTGCAACCATTTGTTTTAGCAGCCCCAGAGACCTCATACAGTCTCTTTGAGTTTTCTTTGGAACTCCTGAAAGGTGGGCTTTGTTACCAAAAGGAAATGACCAATAAGTACATGGATGCCTCTTTCAGACTGACAGGAGAAATTTTCACTTAGGATAGAAGTTCAGGAAAAAACTGATGGAATCCTACACAATGGAAGCTATAATTTATCCAATGGAGTTATTGCTTGAGTCAGTGGAGTTTTTATTCCTCCACTCTGGTTTGTGCTATTTTCCTTGAACATAGTGAAATGTACCATACTCCTGAACCAACAATAAACCATGTTCAGTAAATATATATGTCAGCGAAAGTGAGTTCTGAACCAGAAAGAAAGAATGTCAGAGGCCATGAGTGTTGCTGACCATTTGTATCAGGATCCTCTTTTTATATGTCTCCTCTGTCTGCTACTAACTACTCTTGTTGGCTCCCACACAGACCCTCTTCTGAGCATTCTGTGTTAGAGTAGGTGCTAGGCGTGCATGTATGTGTGTGTGTGTGTGTGTGTGAGTGTATATGTATGCTTTTTAATGGGTGTATATGTGTGCTAAGAGCACATGTGTGTATGTGTAAAAATGTGTATATGAATGTGCATAAATGCGTTTGAGTATGCCTGTGTGAGTACGTAGATGTGCGTGTGCTAATCCCACGCTTGAGTACAGGTGGATGGGGAGGATGTAGGGAGCTTCAGGTTGCTCCCAGTTCTGTAATCTTACGGTGTCTAAAATGGGAGCATCCAGTCACCATCACACATGGGAGAGCCTGGAAAAGACAGAACAGGATGAGCTCATGGGAACAGTGGCACTGGCTGCCCTGCTGAGGTCTTTTCAGAGGGGGGAATTGGCAATTGGGCTACATCCTGGACAGAGGCACAGGGTGTGCAGCAGCCCTTTGTGCACTTCCAGAGTGCAGACCCCACAATCCGACACCATCTCTCCATTGTTTGTCTCCTTACAGATGCTTCATAATGCCTCCCTCCCACGCACATCAAGTGTGTCTAACCACCAAATTCATTTCCCCTGATCTCATCTTGGCTAGGGCACCACCTGCCCAATCCTTACCCAGATGCCTTGTCAAGATTAGACACGACTGCTGTTCTGATTTTTATTGCTGACCTAACCCAAAGTTAATCACATCACTTTTTTATTTAGAAATGGAGGATTCCAGGGCTCCTTGTTTACAGGGATAAGCCAAAGGGCTCAGCATGATCCTCTAGGCTCAAAATCATCCTAGACTCTTATCCTTCCTCTCACTCCTTCCCCCTTTCCTCTCTTCCTCTCCCACTCTTAGACCCTGTTTAGCACTTTCATCATTTTAAGAAACAGGAAAGGATAACCCCATCTTAGAGTTTCAGTTGGATGCCCCTCTTTATTAAGTAGATCTCTGTGTTACTCTTCTTCTCCTAGTATAATAACCATGCACAGATGAGACAGAAGGATGTGGACACTTTGGAGGATACTCCTATGTCTCTCATCATCTCATGTTCTGAGCCTCAAGGGTTCAAGTGTGATTTCAAAAGAAAACTCAGTCAAATAGGCAGGATTCCTAATGACTTACCATTTATCTATCTACCTATCTACTTATTTATTTATTTCAGATCAGACTTCGTATGCCTAAAGAGCAACTGGAACTCTTAAAGTAAGTAAGATATTTGTCACTCTGGTGTGGTTCCAAATGCTGAAATGTTTTTGTACAATGATAAAACTAAAGTCATTTCCCCATATTTTCAAGCCATATTTCTTCATGCCAGACAAGAATATATTTTCCTGACCATTTCCTCTTTTCCCCCATAAAAAAAGCAGTTTGCTTTAAAATAACATATATGCATGAGTGAGGGAGAGCAATTTTCTTGGGCTATTTCCTTCTATAAATTCAAATAAAATTAAACATACTAATTGTAAATTAGAAATGATACACACGACCAATTCACTTCTAACCCTCTAGTTTTCATTTTTTGTTTCTCTTCTTCTTTCCTTTCCATCTGTAATGTGTGCACAGAGAAATGCTAGGCATAGTGTCACAAAATATGAATGATGATAAATTCTAGGAGTGAAGTTTTGGGAAATATTATTTCTTATATTTCTCTGTTGTGTTTTTTTTCTTTATAGTAAGTATGTTTCTGTAAACCAAAAAAAAATAGCATTTTTATTGCTTTAGGAAATTACTTGCCCTTTGATATGTTTCTACTTCCATGGATCATTCCTTAAGAAAATATATATTTGATGTGCTTCCAATATTATTTATGATTATAAAAAATGGAAGACAACCTAGATGAGAAAAATAGGCCATTATTTAAATACATTAGAGTCTACTCATGTAATGGGGAATTATGAAGCCATTAAAATAATTCTAAAATATATTTAATGATTTTAGAATGTTTTGGAACACACAATTACAAATACGATCTCTATTTTGTTACTGATTTTTTTTTTGCATGGAATAAAAACTATTAAAAGCCCACCAAAATTTAAAATTTGTTTGCTTCTTTGAAATATTTGTATTTTCCCAATTTTAAACATGTATTTAACAATTTTGAGAAAAATACTAGAGATACAGTGCTTATATTTTTATCAATATCAAGAAATACCTGTTCACTTGACATTTTCTTATACTCTTTATGAGTAATTTTCAAGCTGTAAAAGTAGTACAAAACGTTCTTGGAAACAACATCTTGCACATTTGGACTGTAAAACCAGTGAAAGCACTTCCAAGAACTTCCACAGAACTCTAAGCCACAGTTTGAAAATCGGTGCTTTGTACTGCTCTTGAAATGCGAGGTGTCTCAATTTGAAAGAGTATGACATTTGTGATTTAGGATTCACATGTGTAAAGTCACCCAACTGAAGGACAATCAAAGTTGAGCCTTGCTTGCCACAAGTGGAGCACAGTCAAGCATCAGGACACCCTCAAGACATGTCTTCTGAATGCCTTTGATTATTTTACATAGTGAAATATAATGCTTTTGACAAACGTGCCTTCCCTTCTCTGTCCTTCCTCATATGATTATGTTTCCCATTGCTGGCATGGAAGCCCAGCACCCTCAGATAACAGGGACTTTAAGTCTCACTTCTTTACCTTATAATTCTCCATGTACAGGAAGGAAAGCCAGACTTTGGAAAACAATTTTCGTGAAATTCTATTTTTAATTGAACAAATAGATGTTCTGAAAGCATTACTTAGAGATATGAAGGCTGGCACATACAATTACAGCTGGAACGTCCAAGGAGACACTGCCCAGGACCAGGACAGCTCAGAGACGCTCGATGAGGCAAGGCGGGCTGGAGGCATGGGAGGCTGGGGTGATATTAAACTGGATTTCCCATTGCTAATCCCACTGCTCCTCTGCCCTGAGACCCTACTTCCGACCTTCTGTTTAGCTTGTGTCCTTTTTGACATTCTCCCCTGATACTTTCTTTCACTAGAGCTTGCCCTGGGAAACTCACTTTTTCACCAGTGCTGTGTCACAAGAAGATGCTGGATTGCAGTATGACTTACTTGCCACAAAAATCAATTGATTCAGTTTCATTTTCCAAAGTGTTGTTTAGAATTAAAATATCGGTACAAAATATATTTCCACAAAAACAAAGTATTTAGAATTAAATATTTGTACACAAATATTTAGATAGTAAGAAATTTTTATTTCCCATCCTGATAAGCTAGTAATTTAGGTCAGATTTTGACAAAAGCTTGGCTTTGCTTCTCTTCTGCTGACACCAGCACAACCATCTTTCTCTTCCTCACTATGTTTTGAAGTGCGTTGAGATCTGGCACTGACCTTCTGCTGTGTCCTGCGCCCATTTTATCCTTGTCACTGTGACAAAGTATTACAGTGAGAACTAGAACTGCTATACCTGCTCAGGATACTTGTTTATTTTAAAAGCAGAACACCCTTCAGAATTCAGTAAATTAATTCAAGTGGATGGAAATTTTCTAATGTAAGCAATCATCCATTCTTTGTAAACTGCCTGAGTACCAAATAAGTACAGAATGTTCAAGTCTTTATTGTTACCAAATAAGGACAGAATGTTCAAGTCTTTATTGTTAAACATTAGGACACCAATGAAAATCACGTAGCACAACCCTATCTCACACTCCACAGGGGAATGCTATGGTGTGCTGGACAGGGATTCAGATGGGGCCCTGGTCAACCTTGCTGTGTGGCCATGGGGAGTCCCTGAAAATATTGTAGCTTTAGTTACTTCATGTGTCTGAGAAGGGCCATTTCCACAGAATTATGAAAGTGTCATTCCAAATGCATATACCATGCCTAGATCAGAAGCAGTTTGAGAGCTGTTCAAAGTGTTATTATTTTACAGAATTGGGAACTTAGGTTTGGATCAATAGTAAATAGCCAAAACTGAAGCAGTTGATAGATATTGTTAAAAAGATTTTTTTTTACAACTTTTACAGGAAATGTCAAACTTGATACATTATGTACTCAAAAAGTTGAGAGGGGACATGGTACAAATGGCTGATTATGCCCTGAAGTCAGCTGGTGAGTACAGAAAATGTGGAAAGCTAATTGTAAAAAAATAAGGAATCCTTTAAGTAGGATCTCTCTCTCTGTTCTTTAAATGTCTTTATTAGAAAAACGTATTTATCCACATGTAACTTACAAGAGGGCAAGCCTAATCAAACCAGGTAATAAAAAAGAGATTAGAAATGATTGTCTTTTATGTTTTCTGAATGCAAATCTTAGAGGTCATGAAAACTGTGCATCTTCATTAGCATGCAACTAAAAGGACCACAAAGAAAGTCAAGATGCGGGCTGGAATTATGGCTCAGCAGTAGAGCGCTCACCTAGCACATGCAAGGCCCTGGGTTCGATCCTCAGCACCACATAAAAATAAATATGCAAAATAAAGGTATTGTGTACAACTAAAAAATAAATATTTAGAGGAAAAAAGTTGAGATGCCACAAAGAAATTAGGGAAGGCAGAAAATATTTTAAGCATAGCAAACAGAAAAATATTTTATATTATTATATACTAAAATGATTTATACATGTAATAAATCTAAATGGATTATTAGTGACTAAGTACCAGTGTTTAAATGTCATTTACAAAATAATATTCTTAATATCTTCCAGTTGAAATTAATTCTTAAGAGCTAAAGCTATGAGTCATTAACCTTAGTAATCTCTACAATGTCCTGCCTATTAACAATCTATGAGCAGTATGTGTTCAATGAGCAATGGATAAGGAAAGAGAGGAGGGGAAGAAAAAGTACAAGGTCACTTAAGAAGAAGTAGATAATGATAATGTACATTTATTAAAGGAATAGTTAAAAACCCTTCTTTAAAAAAAAAACAAAACCAACTCTGGGAGTAGGAATGTAATGCAGTAGTAGAGTGCTTACACAGCATATGCAAAGTCTTGGGTTGATGTCCAACACTGCAAATAAATAAATAAAATAAGAAAGAAAACACTTAAGCCTAAAAGTTTCACTTTTGCCCCTATTATCATCATGTAATATCCTTCAATAAATATTATCAAATTGAGTCCAATAATATATAAGAATGATAATACAGCATGACTAAGCAGGGTTTCTCTTAGAACTACAAGTCCAGTTTATCCTTTGAAAAATAAATCCATTTACTTGCTACACCAACAGATTAAAAATATAGTCATCAGATCATCAAATTAGATCCACCGAAGTCCCTTAACAAAGCTCACTGCACCAACAACTTATCTATTCAACAAACTAAAAAGAAATTTCCCTCAGCTTGATAAAGGATACCTGAAAAATTCCTTCAGCTAGTATCATACTTATTTTTGAAACAGATAAATGTGAATGTTTTTCCCCTAAGATTTGAAACAAAGTAAGATTATCTACTCTCACCATTTCTTTTTTTTTTTTTAATTTCTTTTTTTTATTAGCTACACATGACATTACAATGATCTTGGTATCTACTCTCACCATTTCTAGTCAACATTGTAATAAAAGTTCTAAACAGTAAGGTGAGGCAGGAAGCAAAAAAGGTACAGAGAGGAAGAGATAGGAAAGAAAAGGCAAATTGGAAAGAAAGTAATAAAAACCTCTCTACTCATAGATAACATGATTGTTTACAGAGAAAATTACAAAAGAAAATCTAGAATAAGTGAGGCTTGAACCAGTGTGTATGTGTATGTGTATGTTTATGTGTGTGTGTGAGTGTGTGTGTGTGTGTGAAATATGAAATACTTAAGTATAAGTCTTAACAAAATATGTGGGGGATCTGTGTGCTAAAAACTAAAAACATTTATAAAACAAAAGAAGACCTAAGTAAATGGATAGATATACCATGTTCATGAGTTAGAAGACTCAATGCCATGAAGATCTCAATACTCTTGAAGTTTGTAGAAATTGACAAACTATTTCTAAAATGTATATGCAGTGGCAAAGGAATTGCAATATCCAAGTCAGTTTTGAAAAAACAATGTTGGAACTCATACTACCTGATTTTAAAACTTATTATAAAGTTACAGTAATCAAAAGGTCATGGAGTTAATTTTGAAATAAGCCTATAGGACAGACAAATATAAGGCTGACTTCTAGTACTAATACTGACCCCAATTAAGTGGAAGGAATAAGTAACTGTAAAGTTATAGACATTAAAGTTTAAACCCAGTACTCCCACTTTAAGACTGATGAAACTGACCTGCTGGATGTTTAAAACCAAAACAATCAAAAAAGGTAAAGGGCTAAAAAAAAAAAAAAAAAAAGAGTCAATATTTTGGCTCTTGCCCTCTGAGGTCAGCTAGTTCCTAGGAAGCTTGGGACTTCTCTAAGGGCTGAACCCTACCACTTTGGTGAGTCAACTGATCTCCCAATTAGGGGGATTCTGCAGAGAAGAAGGTCATTGAAGAGGGAAATGTCCCTGATGCTTCCAAGGGAAGTCACATTGGTCAGCAAGACTCCGACCCATTCCGGAAGATGCCACTAAAAAAGCTAAGAGGCAAGTTCCTAAGAGTGACCCTAAGGAATCCCAGCTGACTTTTAGTAATAGATAGGAAGGAACAAGCTCAATTTTTACCAACTTGGTCTTAACTAGCTGGCATAAGAGTTTAACCAAAGCATAGTCCATTCATTACATGGGCATTTAAATGAAAAGACAATGGTACATTTAATGTAACTAGAGATGTACATTTGTGTGAGGCCTCCCCCAAATAAGTAAAACTGTGAAGTTATCTTTAAAAAAAAAAAAAAAGGCTTTTTTTTTTGTACAGGAGTGCCTGATGCACAATGCACAAGTTTGTTTTGAGTCAGCTTGAGACCTGTCTGTGTTCTTTTCTTTTTTTCCTGGTATGATTTCTACCAGCTGTTACTCAGACTCCCCTCTAGAATTTATAGTTCATCACTTCCTGCCTGGGACTTGATTTTAATTAAGACCTGGAGAAAAGACAGTCTTCAACCAAGCTGGAAAGGACCTTACCAAGTGCTCCTGATCATCAAGATGGCTATTTGAACTGGTAAAAAAAAAAAAAGAAGAAGAAGAAGAGAAGAAGAAGACGAAGAAGAAGAAGAGAAGAAGAAGAAGAAGAAGAAGAAGAAGAAGAAGAAGAAGAAGAAGAAGAAGAAGAAGAAGAAGAAGAAGAGGAAGAAGAAGAAGAAGAAGAAGAAGAAGAAGAAGAAGAAGAAGAAGAAGAAGAAGAGAGAACTCATTACCAGAGGTGATTTTCACCTCAAAAAGTTAATATGTCTAGGATGGTTGGCAATACCAGAAGGTGTAATGAAAATGAAACCAAAAGGTGTAAAAAGAAAAAAGGGGGGATTTGTGAGAAGTAAAAAGTCTGGTGGTCCAATTTCAGAATATAGTGTTCAGGCTTAATTGGATCCAATTGTAGCCATTTTAATTACAGTCTTTCCCTTTTGCCCATCCCAATTTTAAAATTAGCCAATCATGTAGATTGTACCCCTGAGTCCTCCAGTCAGGGCAAAGGGTAGTCCACATTAGGTATATAAACCAGCAGATTGCCTGCCCAGGGTGCTTGCTAGCTAAGTTCAGGTAGCACACCCTTCTGGCAGAAGTAAAGGTTTGCCTTGCTTACCCACTTTAACCACATCTTTGATTTCTTATAGCACCTCATTATTTCTAACAATGAATTCAATAGAATAATAGAAAGTCCAGAAATAATTTACCACACGTGTGGTAAATTGACTTTTGACAAAGTAGAAAAGTCAAAGACATTTATTTGCAAAAAAATAAAATAAAATAAAATAAAAATAAACCTTGATTCACATTTACAAAATAGCTCACATTTTATAAAAATTAACCCCAAATGGGTCACTGGTCTAAATGCATAGGTTAAAGATATGAAACTTATAAATAAAAGAGAATATTTTTATTTATTTTTTATTTTTTATTATTAGTTGTTCAAAACATTACAAAGTTCTTGATATATCATATTTCATACATTTGATTCAAGCGGATTATGAACTCCCATTTTTACTCTATATACATACTGCAGATTCACATCGGTTACACATCCAAAGAGAATATTTTTAGTCTTGTATTAGAGAAAAAAAATTCTTAAACATGACACCAAAAACATGATCCATAAAAAGAAAATAATGGATGATTAGGGCCCCCTCAAAATTAACTTCTACTCTGCAAAAGACAAACAAGAGAATTAAAAGACAAGTCACAGGCTTAGAGAGAACATTTGCAAACCACACAGAGCAAACATGACTTCTCAAAGACAGAATTTCAGTGGTAATAAAAAATGTCATTTTTCCTACCTATTCCTGAGAATGAGTTTTATCTCCATTATAATTTGCCCAGTAATAATTTTCCAAGGTCATCATTAAAATGATATATTTTTAATTATGTATTTAATTTTTTATTTTAAAAATATTTTATAATTTTAGGAGCCTCTATCATTGAAGCTGGGACCTCAGCAAGTTACAAAAATAATAAAGCAAAACTGTACTGGCATGGGATAGGATTCTTAAATTATGAAATGCCTCCAGATATTATTCTTCAGGTAAAAGTGAAATTAAGAAGAACCAAGTTCTATTTGATTTTATGATAATTTATCATGAAAATGTTAACATTTAAAATGGAGGCAGTTTGACATTGTTCAAACTCATTACACACCTGAAATCTTCTTACATTTTAAGTAATTATACTGCATTAATCCCTTCTTGTTTTATAGTCATTAAATTATCATTGATGACCATATGTGATTTAGAGATAAGTGAACTAGATTATTTGATTCTCAAATAGAAAATATAAATTCCATATCTTTTAAAAGTTGATTCTGTGGCCTCTTTTCCATTGAAAATTTCAGTTGTTCAGACAACATTTATCAAAAGTGCTTGTGTTCTCAATTCTAGTGTTTTGATAAATGCTATTCACATCACATGCTCTTAAGTCCATTTACAACTAAAGCAATAACCAAATAAGATTTCCACTGAAACTTTCAGATACATCCCAAAGGCAGTAGATGTTAACAGACTGTAGGGCATGTCTTAAGTACAATCCACATATCTGAAGTTGGTTTCAAATTCAGAAGTACCTCCAGGGACAACTCTGAATCTTATTCCAAGCCTTATTTTGGATCTAGACAGTGATACACACCTCATTTTCCTTTACCATCATCATCCCCTCAACCACCACAATCATTACTGCCACCACTGTCCTTAGCACTACCATCTCCATCACTACCATGATCACCATCATGTCACTTCCACCCACTCATCATTGACTCCTCATTCACTACCATCACCATGATCTCTACCACATCTCTTCTGTTGCTACCATTATTAACCACCATCGCCATCACCACTATTACCATGATCACTTCCACTATTATCACTGTGGTCATTCCCAAATTTACCACCGTCTCCATTGTCCCAATCATGATTACCATCACCATCACCATCACCACCTCCACCACCATCACCATCACCATCACCACCTCCACCACCATCACTTCCACTGCTATTATTATTACCACCATCATCACTACCACCACCACTACTGTCTTCATTAGTGTCATCAGCACTACCACCATTCATCCCCTTCAGCTTCCTTTTCGTATTTCAAGGTCCAACTAGAGCAGTGAAAGAAACATGCTCGGATGATAAAGAGCTCTGATTAATAGAAGAATAAAGTACTCTGGAAAAAACAATCAAACTTAGCGGGTATCTTAGAAATTTTTCTTTTGATATATATCTTGAACAAAGGATCTGCAGTCAATAGTGGTTAGTTCCCCTGTATTCCAGGGTAGATTTACATACCCAAAGAAGAGATTAATTTGATGTTTTCTTTCCAGCCAGATGTCCATCCTGGAAAATGCTGGGCCTTTCCAGGTTCCCAGGGTCATATTCTAATCAAGCTTGCCAGGAAAATCACACCAACGGCTGTTACCATGGAGCACATTTCAGAGAAAGTGTCACCCTCAGGAAACATCTCCAGTGCACCCAAGGAATTTTCTGTCTATGTGAGAAACTATCTAAATATGTCATTAAAAGCTGGATTATCATATTAATGATACAACTAACTAGTTGTATTACTTATTTCCTGGGCCTTGGTCTTATTATCCTCAAAGTGACAGGGTTAAACCAGATGATTTCTATTGCTTAGTTTTATTTTTTACTTTTATCCGTTATATGTGACAAAAAGTTATACATGTCCATAAAGTTTATATTATCTCACTCTCCTTGTTCCCAATTCTTTCCCACAGTTTTAGCTGTTTTGGAGGGTCCTTGTCTTCATATTTGCTTGTCCATTATTTCTTCATTTTTCAATTTTGGTTCTTAATTATTCAGTTTTGCTGACATCCTCCAGTAGAAAATGAATTATTAACTCTCTTCTGTGGGTTCCCCATCATCCTCCCAGGATTTTTTTGTTAAATTCACATAACATTTAGTTTACTCATTTGATGTGCACACTTCAGGAGCCTTTGGTATATATACAAAATCACGTACCTATCACCACAATCAACTTTAGAACATTTTCACTACCCCCCAAAACAATCTCCACATGACTTAGCTGTCACCTCTAATTCCCTCATCACAAGCCCAGTCCTGACAACCACTAATCTACTTTGTCTCCATAATTTTACCTATTTTGGACATTTTATATAAACAAAATCATATTAAATGTGGTCTTTAGTGAATAATGTTTTAAGGCTCATCCATGCTGTAATGTGTCAATATTTGATTACTTTTTAAATTGCTGAATAATATTTCATTGTATAAATAAACCACATTTTGTTTATTCTTCAATTGGTGAACATTTGAATTATTTACAGTTTTTTTTTTTTTTTTTGGCTATTATGAATGACGCTGCTGTCAACATTTGTGTAAGAATTTGTGTGTGGACATTGTTCCTTTTTTCTTTAGAGTATATACCGAAGATTGAAATTGCTAGATTTCATGTGGTAGATTTATATTTAATGTTTGAGGTACTGCTAAGATGTATATCTTACTTTTTGTTTGAATCAATATTCTGTGGTAATCAATTTCATGGTAACTGTGTGAAAATATTGTTCTCAGTTGAGTTGTATAAGACACTTGAATACTATTTTCTTTTTTGCATGATTTTTGATGTGCCTTATTTTTTATTTAATTTGTTTGGTTTGCTATAGTTCTATCAGTAACATTACCAGTCTCTTAAGCAGAAGTATAAATATTCTCCTTTTATTTAATTCATGTCATATAATTTATGTTTCCTCTTCCCTTCCCTTCCCTGCCCTTCCTCTTTCTTTCCAGGATATTCCTTATGTAGCTCTGCCATTCTGCTGATGGTTGCTAAGTGGGCCTGATGCTTACCTATTCTTATGGGATTTCATTTCTGCCAACTGAGGCTTTAACTTATACCTATTTTTTGTTTTTATTTGTTTCTCTCTTATTTTCCCTGTTTTTTGTTCTGCTTCTGAGTGACTTTCCATTTGCATCTTAATCCCTGTGTTGAATATTTAATTTCTGCTATCACATTGTACTTGTTTAAGACATTGGTTGCCATAAATATTCCCTTTCTTAGGCTCTGAGTTTTTCTTTCATGGATGAAATATCTTCTCTTAATGCTTCTGAAGAAATTAATTGATAATAGTTATAGTTTTATTTAATTTTTTCCTGCTCCCTCCTATTTTTATTTCCAGGTATCCTTTGTCCTGCTTGTTTATAGGATCTCTGTTGTTTTTGAAAATGTCCTTCCTCAAATGTCTGTGAGGCTTTTTTATCACATTAAGGGTTTGCTAATAGTCAGGCATGGTGGTGCACACTTGTAATCCCAGCAGCTCAGGAGGATCAAGAATTCAGAGCCAGTTTTAGCAAAAGTGAGGTGCTAAGCAACTCAGTGAGACACTGTCTCTAAATAAAATACAAAATAGGGCTGGGGATGTGTCTCAGTGGTCAAGTGCCTCTGAGTTCAATTCCTGGTACCCCCTCCCAAAAATTTTTTCTGATAAAAATTTGGCCACAAGCTCTGTGCTCATGGTGGGGCTTATGAACAGCAAGTTCCACAGGTGGAATGTCTGGTTAGCTATTTCTTCTGGAGCCCCAGAATGTGGAATTGGGCAAGTTGACCCTGAGAGGAGTCCTGCAACAGGAGGTACAGGCTTGGCTGAGAACACACTGGGAGCTGCTGGGGAGGAAGGGGCGGTACAATACCAATTCAGGACATAGGGCAGGATCAGCCCTTCTATTTTAGCTGTATTAGGGCTGTGCCTGTCAGAGCTGGAGATAGACCAGAGATCCTGCAGAGCCAGGTAAGGGCAGAAACCTACCATGGACTAGGAGTCTAATCTCTTTTTGAAAAAACTATCCCAGGCCTCAGATTTTGATCTCTCTTTCTCCTGTTCCTCACCCCACAACCCCAATCCCTGGGCCTTTCTGGGACTAGCACTGTAAGTCCATGTGCTGCTGATTTCATCTCTAACAAGAGAAGTTTATGTTTCCTTCAGATCCCATTTAGCCATTTCCACACTTTTTTTTGTCTGAGTGTGTAATCACCCCTCATCCCACCACCCACCATTGGGTTCATGCTTTTTCAATCCTGTGATGTTACTTGCTAGAGGTGGCCTCAGTGTTAAAAGCTAGATGCCTCCTGTGTCCTCTGAAGGCATCTAGCTTCTGGGGCTCGGAGGCTGCTAGGCAGAAGACCACTGTGTTCTTATGCCAGCCTATACCCCAAACTCAGGTGTACCCTAGAAGTTGAGTTAGGGTGAAGTTGAACAGATCCAGTCCTGTCTCAGACCATGCACATAGCTGCTCATTGTGTAGGGGAATTTGAGTGGATTCTGCAGGCAGGAATCCTTCAGGTAGTCAAGGCTACTTCTTGTTATTTTTATTCTATATTAGAGAATTTATTAACCAAGTGAAATTTAAAAACAGGTCTTATAAATGTGAATATAAAATTAGCACTCCTCTATTAGCAAGCTAAAGGAACTCTATGAGGCTTAAACCATATCTACGTATAAGTATGTATATATGTAACTGTGAGTACATTATGTAATCAATGATGTCCCTAATTATTTTAATAAAATGGTGCTGTTTTAATATTAATACTTTCACTATAAAATGATTAAACTTCCATAATTTAAGGAGTCTAGTAATAATCTTCAAGTTCTCAAAATAAATTCATTTGCACCAGTTCATTCTCCTCTCACAGATCTTCAATTTGAGGGGTAGAAAAAGAAGGGAAAAAACACAGGGGAATTGCATACAAAGACCAAAATTTCTGTTCAGTAACAAAAGCTGGATATAGAAGGGTCAAAAAGGATGTTCTTTTCTAAATTTTATTCAAACTACGTTGACTTCAAATTGTCAGTGTGGATGCTGGGATTCATTTTACATCTATCTGTTTTATCTATCATCCATCTTCTCCCTAGCCATCTCATTATCATCTGTCTTTCATCTATCTCCCTTTCTATCTTTCTGTCATGCTCTGTCATGTATCTACCTATCTTATTTATTTATTTTTTTTTAGCACTGGGGCTTGAACCCAAGGTTAGGTAGATGCTAGCAAGCACTCTACCATTGAGCCACACTCCAGCCCACCACATCTCCCTATCAGTCATCTACCTATCATCTGTCACTCTGCCTATCTCAGCAATCTTTGATCTGTCTCCTTATACACACACACACACACACACACACACACACGTAGCTCTCATCTACTTTCATCTATCTCTTTCTATCTATATATCTGCCCACCTACCTTCCTGTCCAGCTCTGTAATCAGCCTCTGGCCTCATTAACCCTCATAACTTTATACATTGGGTGTATAAGCCAATCCTGACTCTAGCACAGCACTCAGCCCTTCACAGAAAAACACAAAATGCCTAGTACATTGTTGCTATTTGAACAACTACATCCATTTGTTTTAACCAAGCTTGTAACTTCCAAATCCATTGGTTTCTTTTTTTTTTATTTTTAATTTTTTATTGTGGGTTGTTCAAAACATTACAAATTTCTTGACATATCATATTCCACACTTTGATTCAAGTGGGTTATGAACTCCCACCTTCACCCCATACACAGATTGCAGAATCACATCAGTTACACATCCATTGATTTACATATTGCCATACTAGTGTCTGTTGTGCTCCGCTGCCTTTCCCATCCTCCACCCTCCCCCCTCCCCACCTCTCCCCTCCCCTCCCCTCCTCTCTCTCTACCCCCTCCACTGTATAACCCTGAGGGTCTCCTTCCATTACCATGCAATTTCCCTTCTCTCTCCCTTTCCCTCCCACCTCTCATCCCTGTTAAATGTTAATCTTCTTCTCCTGCTCTTCGTCCCTACTCTGATCTTAGTTACTCTCCTTATATCAAAGAAGACATTTGGCATTTGTTTTTTAGGGATTGGCTAGCTTCACTTAGCATAATCTGCTCTAATGCCATCCATTTCCCTGTAAATTCTATGATTTTGTCATTTTTTAATGCAGAGTAATACTCCATTGTGTATAAATGCCACATTTTTTTTATCCATTCGTCTATTGAAGGGCATCTAGGTTGGTTCCACAGTCTTGCTATTGTGAACTGTGCTGCTATGAACATCGATATAGCAGAGTCCCTGTAGCATGCTCTTTTTAGGTCTTTAGGGAACAGACCAAGAAGGGGAATAGCTGGGTCAAATGGTGGCTCCATTCCCAGCTTTCCAAGAAATCTCCATACTGCTTTCCAAATTGGCTGCACCAATCTGCAGTCCCACCAGCAATGTACAAGTGTACCCTTTTCCCCACATCCTCGCCAGCACTTGTTGTTGTTTGACTTCCTAATGGCTGCCAATCTTACTGGAGTGAGATGGTATCTTAGGGTGGTTTTGATTTGCATTTCTCTGACAGCTAGAGATGTTGAGCATTTTTTCATGTGCTTGTTGATTGACTGTATGTCCTCCTCTGAGAAGTGTCTGTTCAGGTCCTTGGCCCATTTGTTGATTGGGTTGTTTGTTCTCTTATTGTCTAATTTTTTGAGTTCTTTGTATACTCTGGATATTAGGGCTCTATCTGAAGTGTGAGGAGTAAAGATTTGTTCCCAGGGTGTAGGCTCCCTATTTACCTCTCTTATTGTTTCTTTTGCTGAGAAAAAACTTTTTAGTTTGAGTAAGTCCCATTTGTTGATTTGTGCTATGGGTGTCCTATTGAGGAATTTGGAGCCCGACCCCACCGAATGTAGATCGTAGCCAACTTTTTCTTCTATCAGACGGCGCATCTCTGATTTGATATCAAGCTCCTTGATCCATTTTGAATTCACTTTTGTGCATGGCGAGAGAAAGGGATTCAGTTTCATTTTGTTCCATATGGATTTCCAGTTTTCCCAGCACCATTTGTTGAAGATGCTATCCTTCCTCCATTGCATGCTTTTAGCCCCTTTATCAAATATAAGATAGTTGTAGTTTTGTGGATTGGTTTCTGTGTCCTCTATTCTGTACCATTGGTCCACCCGCCTGTTTTGGTACCAGTACCATGCTGTTTTTGTTACTATTGCTCTGTAGTATAGTTTGAAGTCTGGTATCGCTATACCGCCTGATTCACACTTCCTGCTTAGCATTGTTTTTGCTATTCTGGGTCTTTTATTTTTCCATATGAATTTCATGATTGCTTTCTCTATTTCTACAAGAAATGCCGTTGGGATTTTGATTGGCATTGCATTAAACCTATAGAGAACTTTTGGTAATATCGCCATTTTGATGATGTTAGTTCTGCCTATCCATGAACAGGGTATATTTTTCCATCTTCTAAGATCTTCTTCTATTTCTCTCTTTAGGGTTCTGTAGTTTTCATTGTATAAGTCTTTCACCTCTTTTGTTAGGTTGATTCCCAAGTATTTTATTTTTTTTTTGAAGATACTGTGAATGGAGTGGTTGTCATCATTTCCATTTCAGAGGATTTGTCGCTGATATACAGGAATGCCTTTGATTTATGCGTGTTGATTTTATATCCTGCCATTTTGCTGAATTCATTTATTAGCTCTAATAGTTTCTTTGTAGACCCTTTTGGGTCTGCTAGGTATAGAATCACATCATCTGCAAATAGTGATAATTTAAGTTCTTCTTTTCCTATTTTTATGCCTTTAATTTCTTTCATCTGTCTAATTGCTCTGGCCATTGGTTTCTTTATAGGGCATCACAAAAAAATGTGAAGGAGAAGAAATTTTCCTAGGTCAATTTATATACAACAAGACAGAAAACACCATTCAAACATTTGAACTCCAGGTAATGTCTGCTCTGGGAAATAAGATATGTTTGGTTTCATCACTGGGAGAGTTCTGCTGGAATTGCTGCATGGTGTGCAATAATAAGTTATGACAAAAGCATGAGCTAGGCAAGGCTTATCAGAATTTCACTTCTTTGATCAGGTTTTACATTGATTTTAATGCAAAAGAAATTACAAAAGCAGTTTCTAAGCAAAACTCTTCCTCATCTGCTGTCTTTCTGTTAGGTTTCTCAGTCCTTTCATTTATTTATTTACTTATTTATTCATTTATTTATTTTGGGGACACTGGGCATCAAACCCAGGGACCCCCATATAGGACGTAAACACAACCACTGTGCTTCATCCCCAGCCCCTCAATCATTCTTTTAACTCTTGAACCCTTGAAACTGTTACATTTGATATTCACTGTTTTATCTTTTTTGGACAAAGGGACTGGGGATGATGGTACAGAATGAGGTAGATAGGGGCAGGAGGAACTTAGAGGAAGAGAGGATATTTAATACTAGTGGAAAGGGAGAATTCCAGCTATTAACTTTATAACTCCCCTGAAACTCACTATGGTATATGAAAACTGTTTTCATTATTTCTCATTAGCCACACAGGAAGTAACTGAAGAGATGTAGAAAGCAACTCATACCATGTAAAAATAAACCTTTTATGAAACTTTGTGGCCAATGGTGAGAAAAATCTAAGCCCCAAAATATATATAGTCAGCCCATCATATCCATGGGTTCTGTGTCCATGGGTTCAGTGAACTACAGGTCAAAAATATTTGACCTAGGTGCCTTTCAACAAATGAATGGATTAAAAACTGTGATATATATCAGCCTTAAAGAAGAATGAAATCATGGTAAATGGATGGAACTGGAGAATATCATGCTAAGCAAAATAAGCCAACCCCCCAAAACCAAAATCTGAATGTTTTCTCTATTATGTGGATGATAATTGACAATGGGGATGGCTTGAGAAGAATAGAGTTACTTTAGATTAGGTAGAGGGGAGTGAAGGGGAGGGGAGGGCCTATGGGGGGTAGGAAGGATAGTAAAATGAATCAGACATTATTATCCTATGTACATATATAACTATATGACCAGTGTATTCAATGTCATGTACAAGCAGAATGAGAAATTATACTCCATTACATATGATGAATCAAAGGGCATTCTACTGTCATTGTATAACTAAAACAAATTTTAAAAATTAAAAAATAAACAAATCCTACCTTAGTTGTGACTAAAACTTTTTTAAAAATTGAAAAAATAATTGCATTTGAACTGAACATGTAAAGGCTTTTTTTTTTCTCACTGTAACCTAAACAATACAGTATAACAACTATTTACATAGTGTTTACATTAAATTAGATGTTATAAGTACTTTAGAGGTTTTAAAGTACATGGGAGGATGTGCATAGGTTATATATTAACCATATATTTTATATAAGGAACTTGAGCCTCCACAGATTTTGGTATTAGCAGGGGGTCCCAGAGCCATTCTCTCTCAGATACCAAGCATTAGAAATTAAGGTGTTTATACAGTTTTATATTTGATTGCATTATCACATGCATTGGGCTCATACACTCACATTCACTTTTATAGGTGACTTCATAGATCTGTTTTCATACAACCAACACTCTGTGTTCCTTGTGAAGCCAGTAGGAGCACTCAAGAGAGAGTACAGTAGTAACAGACACTTGACATCAGACCACCTTATTATCTTTCTCCCCCTAATTGTCTTTTATTTCCTTTCAGAAGCTCTTTCTCTTGTCCATTTGACAGTATCGGAAAATACTTATGTTAGGGAGAAAAGAAAATTTTAATTTTCCATTACATAAGCATTCATTGAGATTCAATGGGATTTCTTTACAAGGCATTAATTTTTTTCTTTTCTTTATTTTCAGCATGAAGTTTCTGAACCTTTATTATGTGTGAATCTTAAAATCCTTAGCAACTGGGGACACCCAAAGTATACTTGTTTGTATCGATTCAGGGTTCATGGTGTCCCCACTGATCACACCTAGAGGATATGGCACAGAAGGCCAAGACCACATGTCCAGAATATTCTAGGATTCTCATTCCTTGAGATTAGACTGCACCCCTAGAAGTCAAAAATTGAGAGTGGGAAAGAAACCTCAAAGTAGTTCCTACTTGCCAGTGAAAAGTGAATGAATTTTACTAATAAAAATATTTTAAAAATTCAACATCCATGTACTGTAATTCTGTTTAGATTATATCATGTTGTTAGAGCACTGAAAGGTGATTTTTATACTTAGACTGTTATATATATTTAACAGCCATGCTCATAATAGCACTTTTTGTTATTCATTATCTATACTAGGTATGAATGTTCACTGTTACCACTAATATTAACACTGGTTAAGGTAATAAGAGAAAAGACATTTTTAAATTAATGAAGAGTTCTGGCCATGACTTATTTGCAGATTATGTGATCAATTCCATGAAATACAATGAAGTCTATTAAAAAAAAACATAAACAAGTAAAAACTGCAATAAGTTGGTATATACAATATTATCACATATAAATCAAGATCATTCATAAGTAAAACAAGAAGAAGTATAATTTACAAAAACCACAACAAAGATAATAAACATCGAATTAAAAAGGTAGTAAAATTCCTATGGGAAGAAAACTCCCAAACAGCAGTAAATTACCAAATTTTGGTAAATGAAAGACATGTATTATTCTTGACAAGAAAACTCAATTATCAAGATATTACTACTCCCTAAGTTAATCTATAAATGTATCTTATTAATCTTGATATTAAAAATGGGGAAACTACATTTTGGAGGCAGTTATGAAACATAAAAGAATTGTTTAAAAACAATTTTAGATGTCTATGTAATTGTATTATAATTTTGTTTTAAAAAGAATTCTTGGACTAGAGACATGCAAGAGCCTGATTTCTATTCCTAGTGCCACCAAAAGAAAAAAAAGACTTATCTTTGTTTTGATTTATATATTTAAATATTTACAGATGAAATTATATATCTAGGATCTTTTTCAAAGAAAAATAAATGGATAAGAAGATGGATGATAAAGATTGGCCATGAAATTATCCCAAAGCTTTATGTTGCCTCTCCATGGGGGCTCATTAAGCTATTCTGTCTAAATTTTTATGTTTGATTTTTCAGTTTCAAAAGGGGTTGGAAGATAAAACACACATTTGTATTTTTAAAACCCCAAAGGAGTGTGTTTTAAACTCACTTGATTCTGAACTTCAGATGGAAATAATAAGCCTAGTATAAACCCAGGAAACCTCTAAAAAATCAAAAAGGGAAACAGCTCTGTGACATAGGTATGATAATTAAAAACCATGTGGTGCTAGCACATTGATAGATTAATGGAACAAAGTCTAAAAAAAATTACATCTGGGAATTTGGTATATGATAAAAATGGCATCTCAAAAGGGCATGGTGTTTTAGCTCATTTCTCTTGCTAATAATAGCATGGACTGGATAAGTTACAAGTAAAAGAAGTTTATCTTGGCTGGCAGTTCTGATCTTCCTGATTGAGAAGATGCATTTGTTAATAGCCTTCTTGCTGGCAGAGGGCAAGACACTGGCTGTCTCATGGTGAAACACAGAGAGCTATAGAGACCTAGCCAAACTGGCTTTTATAGCAAATCTACTCTTGATAGCCCATAAACACTTTAATCCATGGTTCATCACACAGATAGGTTACTCAATCCATGAGGGAGGAGTTCTAATCACCTTTTAAAGGCTCCATTTCTTACAGCTCTTAGTAGGAGTAGGGATTAAATTTCAACATGAGTTTGGGAAGCATATTCAAATCATAGCATATGGTAAAAAGGAAATACAAATGAGTTAGGAAAATTATCTGTTCATTAAGAAAATAAATTTGCATCGATACTTCTTACTTCACAACATGATAAATTCCAAGTTTAACATGGTAAAAGATTCACAGTGGATGAAATTAACAAATTTTAAGATAATTCCTATATAGTACTGGATACAAGAAGGCCTTTCTAAGTAAGATTCAAAATTTAGAAGCCACAAAAGAATAAAACTAAAGTCTATTACATAAAAAAATCAAGAACTTCTGCATGACAAAAAGAAAAAAAATAACAATTTAAAGAAAGTGTGTAAGTAGTAATATTACAAAACTAAATCTTTCTAGTAAAGTTTCAAAAAAGCAATAACAACATCATTAACCCTTTAGAAAAATGGCCAAAGAGTATGAACACTATTCAAATTTATTCATTGAAGAAAAATGACAAAAATTAAATTGCAGTACAATTTTATACCAATGAAATCAGAAAACTCCAGAAATCTGGTAATTTATTCTGAGATGAAAGAGAAGTAAGATCTCTAACACATTGTTGGCACAGATGCAAATAAGTACAACTTTATGGAGAGAACTTGGCAATATCTTTCAAAATTAAATATGCATACACCCTTTGACTCAAAAAATTATCACATATATAACAAACATAAAAAGTTATTCATCAGCATTGCTTCCCAGGAGAAAAGGGAGTAAGAGATGGGGATGGGGTAGGTGGACCCCAAATAGATAGGACCAAAGTATTTCATTGTGTATTTATTGTATTTTTAAACTATGTGAATATATTACCCATTTAGACACTAAACAAGTTTTAATAAACATGGTCTCTCTCTCTCTCTCTCTCTCTCTCTCTCTCTCTCTCTCTTTTTAACATAGTGGTCAAGGGAGGAAAGTTACATAAAGAGTGAGTGATGTAAAGGAAAAAAAAATGGACATAGGAAGGCAGGGGCCTTAGCCAGGAAATTGGGCAAGATCCTGCAGGAGAAAAGATTTGTGAAAGTGTTCTCAGGCTGTGCTCAGTGTCAACCCAGGTGGTATATGAGGGAAATTCACTGGACATTTTGAAACAACAAAGAGCTAGAAAGACGGGAAATGGAGAAAACAGACACTGAGGTGCTACCTGTGCATATTCTGGGAGCTTTAAGATGTGGCTATGATGGCATGATATGAAAACAGAAAAATCCCATATACCTTTCATGAAGCATAATCATAGTAACCCTCACTTTTTATTATAGAAAAGCAGTGCTTCAGCTCAAAATTCCAGTCCTCAGCTCCACCTGAAACCCTCCCTTGAGCACAGGGTCTTCTTCTACAGACTTGGGGCCAAAGTATAGTCACCTAACTATATTTTAGTTCCTGCTGAATGAATTAAAAGCATTAGTGAACACTTCCTTATACCTGCCCTCTCCTTGGACCACTGTCCTTGTAAACAAGGTGGGTTAGCCAGCTGAATGATGAGAGGCCATAGTGAATGAGATGCCGAGGAAACCTCCAGCACCAGTTTTCAGACAGGTAAAGTGAATCTCCCAGCTTAGCTGACCCTCACCTGAATGCAGCCTCCCGAAGAAGCCCAGGGGAAGCAGTGGAGGGACCACTCAGCCCAAAACATAAGTCCTTGTTGAAGTCATGTGCTTTGGGGTAGTGTCTTATACATTAATAGGTAACTAATAAACTCCTCATTTTCCCACTGCTACAGTTTCCTAGAATCTTATTCCCAGTCCCTAAAAGAAGATTACAAATTGGCTGAGTTCCATCTCTATTTTTTATTTTTATAGGTAAGGACCAGACCATACATAATAATAGAACTCTGTCACACAATCTGTGGCAAAGAGCTCAGGAAACCAATCCATTTTCTACAGTAACCTGTCCTGGACTTCAGTCTTCTTTCTTACAAATTAGACTTGTGGGAAGTCAGAACACTGAGCCAAGAAGCCAAACAACAGCTCCTATAATAATTGGTCCCAAATGGCCAGCACTTGATTAGTAACTGACAGCTTCCTTAATATTTGGTCTCATTTCCAACTTAGGATCAATTAGGGATGCTTAAATATGCTCCCTTAGCCAAATCACATGAAAGGACCCTACTCTAGCCTTTATCAGGGCACGCCTGGAGCCCTCTCTTCCCAAAGTGAGCTGAATCACTCCTCTGCCTGCCTGTGAATCTCAGCCCTGTGTCGCAAGGATGGCCAACTCCAAATAAACAGGTTTTCCTTATTCTCATTTGGGTGGTCTCTCTGTTTGATTCTGTACTATCAATCGTCTTCCTGAAGGTCAAATGTAAATAAACCTGGTTCAATGAGCAGAAACTTGTGGGTCTCTGACCATTTACAACCTGCTGATTCAGATTCTCATAAAGGGGGGCATTTATGTTTCTGCTGATGTTATCAGCATACTGTACTATAAAATAATATAGAAATCACCAATTAAAAATATTTAAATGAGTGGAAAATAGACCAGTAGAGTAGAAGAAGGACGATGGGGGAGAGAAGAGGAGAGGGTGAGGGAGGGCACCGGGGACTGAAATGGAATAAATTAAATTCCATTCATGTACAATTACCTTGCTGATGGACAATATACTTTTTAAAAATTCAGCATCCATTCTTTTTTTAAGTTATTTTTATACCTTATTTATTTTTATGTGGTGCTGAGGCTTGAACCCAGCGCCTCATACATGCTAGGCAAGCACTCTACCACTGAACTATAGCCTCAGCCCATGATGGACATATTTTTAAAATGTTTTTTAATGAAACATACTTCAACAAATGCTGGGCTTTCTCCTTCTGCATACGGGTTAGTCCTCCTCCTCAGATGCTCCTCCTTCCCCACTATGGCTGGTACTTCTTATGTGCTCCACAGACATAAATTTAAAAATAGACTGAATTTCAGAAGTATTTTTTCTTTGACGTGTCAAAGATGAGCCGAGTCTGTGAAGAGTTGCTTAAGCAAAACTGCATCCCTTAAGTGAGGGCAGCTTTTATAAAATGATCATTAGGGCCATCTCTGGAGTTCCCTCCCTTTACAATTTTCTCATGTTAAAAAAAAATAAATAGTTCCTTTAGGTTTGATGTAGAACCTCTGAGCAATGCCAGTTTCTTTCCCCGGGGGCAGGGGGGTAATTTTTCCTTCAATAACTACTAACAACAGGGCTGCAAATAGTCACTCCTTCCTCAGGGACTAGTGAAGATGAGCAAGCATCTGAAGGACAGCAGCCAAACACAGCTTTGGCTCACAGCTGTAAAAACACACTGCTTATCCAGTTGGAGTTTACTTTCTCTGCAGCTCTAAAGAAGTAACTTTCCTTACTTCCAATCATACATCTGGACACTTTACATCCACCCACAGGCTAGGCAAGTGGTACATCCCTGACCCAAGATATTTTTTTTTTAAGTCCTTTGCAAATAGGAGCATAAAATACTATATTTCAGTTCCTAAGACAAGAATAAGATAAAATAATATAACTAACAACATCAACACTGTTCTCCAGATTCATGCATGATGAATTGCTAAACTCTGAGGTTAGAACTTTTTTTTTTTTTTTTTAAATCAGAAAGCTAGTTCCTAGCTAGACCAAAAACAACATGAACATATTATTGTTTTAAAAAAAAACAGGCACATGGGGTTAGAGAGCTCTCTGGTGACTCATTTCTGGACTCAAAATCATTTGGAAAGAAAATAGGAAAGCAGTGTCCACGCTGAATTAATTTGCTAAACTTATTTAGTTAAGAAAACTGCAAGAGCACACAGAAGATGCCCTTTTTTTTCCTAAGGGGGGAAAATATTATAGCCCAATTTTAAACTCATTGAGTAAAATATCTTATATTATTTGGGTTTTGGCAAGAAAGAATGCATAATTAGATACCTTTTAGGAAGTTTAAAAAATGTCTTATCATTTTTTTATGGCATAATAATAAGTCATTTTACATAAAGTTCAGATGCAATGAAACATTACTTACAAACCTGACTTAATCATATCTGTGCTCTACTTAGCAATCACATTATTTCATAAGTGATAGTTTTTATTTCAAATTAATTTGCAAGTTAACTTTTAAAAGCACATGTTGTTGAGTGCTTGAAGTCCTTTACAAATAGAAATTTAGGACATTTAGTGACTCAGGAGTTTCCTATCCCCAGGTGTGGGGAAATGCTTCTAAGAATTCACATTTTGAAAAAACTTTGACATCTAGCTCAAGTTTTGTGTTAAAATACTTGAATAAAAGCAAACTTTAAGAATTAAATAAAGTATATTTTAGATACAAGTTTTTAAGGCAGCTTTAAATTCTTTCCAACCTGATAGTACTGCTATTGTTACCGCTGTTGACCGGTGACGAGTTCTTGCTTCCCCAATGTTGAAGAATAACACCAAAGAAGCACGCCGAGGCAAGGTCAGAGTAGAAATTAGAAGTTTATTAAAGGACAGCAGAAAAGACTTCTCCCGGAGGAAGAAGGGGACCCAAGAGGTGGAATCCGTGGAAGTGCGGTTGTTTCCCCTTTTTATAGTTTTGGTGATGGAATGTAGGTTGGAAGGCCCGAGGGGTGGGACACAGGTGGGCCAAAGAAGTAATCTGGTCAGGAAGGACTTCTGAGTCAGCACCTTTTTGCTGGGGGCTGTTCATTAACATTTCTTTGAGGTGGACTTTGGCCTAGGGCCTTTTCCGGACTTCATTAACATTCCATGAGTTGTCCTGTGTTTTCCCTGAGTCATTCTCAGCATGGTCTCCATTTTAGATTTCACTCAATATTAGACCCGATTTACCTAACTACACTGACTACCTAACTTTAAATCTGGCTTCACTATCTCTGCAGAATGGTATCTTAAGGTTTTGAAAACTGTTTTAAATATTTATAATTTTAAACATAATACTGAATAGTTGTTAAAGACAGGATGGTTAAAGAACAATGATGTTAAACGATAATTCTGCATCTTTTTCTCAATAGGAACTTCACCAAATTCGAAAACAAAAGTTCTTTTAAGGGTTAGAATTTTTTTTTAAGAGGAATTTTAAAGGGGTAACGGAAAAATTGCATCCAATTTATGTGGATACAAACTTTATTGATTATCTATGTAAAGATTTTCTTTTCTTTTTATGCTGGGGATGAAACCTGCCAGGCCTCCTACAGGCTAGGCAAGTGGTACATCCGCGACCCAAGATTTTTTTTTTTTTAATCCTTTGCAAATAGGAGCATAGAATACTCTATGCAGTTCAGCACCGCAAAAAAGACAAAAGGCAGACCTTTTTTTGTAGGTGGAGTGGGTATGGGGATGGAGGTCAGGGGACTAGGAACCCTGCTTCGCCGGGAGCATGACTCGGCAATAATCGCGGAAAGGCTCTCCGCGGAACCTCTGTGAACGCCGCAGCGTTTCCGAGAAGGAAGGCTCTGGGAGGGACACGTATCCGCCGCCCGTCAGACGCCCCCGCCAGGGCTTGGTGCGGCAATGAAGTTTCGTGCCAAAATCGTGGACGCTGCCTGCCTGAATCAGTTCACGCGTGAGCTGGGAGGGCTGCGGGGAGTCGGGGAGGACCGGAAATAGGCCGACTTCGGGCGCAGCAGCCTTGCGGGAGGTTGGGGGTGGGGCTCGGCGTGCTGGACGTTGGCCTTGGATCGCGGGCCGGTACTGTGGGAAGAAGAACAGTTGAAGGACCTATTTCTGAAACTTGATTCTGATCACATGGTCCTTCTTTTGTACTACTGCTTCCATCGACGTCTGGCATAGACATCACTTTGCGTTAGGCCCCATTCCTCCTTCCACCCGACTGTGGCCAGCATTGCTTTGAACTGTGTGCTGCAGCACCCGGCGGTCCATAAGTTTGTGTTGAATGTATGAATGGCCCTTACGTGCTAATTAGCCTCCGAACCTCAGTTTCCGTATTGAACATGAATGGTGTGTGCCGCAAGCCTAGCTGGGTTATTGTAAGACTGGCATGACATGCGTGGTACTGAAATATTTTCCATCGTGATCCCAACATACACTGTTTTTCCGCCTGCAAGTTGCGCTTCGATGAACTAGAAGTTCTGCAAGGCAAGGTGACTTCTAGGAAACATGATGTGTGTCTTAGTTACACCTTACTTTACTCCCTGTCACAGGAGTCAGTAACATGATAGCCAAGCTTGCGAAAACCTGCACCCTCCGAATCAGCCCCAATAAGCTGAACTTCATCCTTTCTGATAAACTGGCCAGTGGAGGAGTGAGCATGTGGTGTGAGCTGGAGCAGGTAAGCAGAAGTTCCCAAAAGGCCCCAGACTTCACCTAATGCTATTGGAAAACCCACAAATACCCGTTTTCTTTCCTTAGGAAAACATTTTCAGCGAATTTCAAATGGAGGGTGTTTCTGCAGAAAACAATGAGATTTATTTAGAGCTAACATCGGAAAACTTATCTCGAGCTTTGAAAACTACCCAGAATGCCAGATCCTTGAAAATCAAGCTGACTAATAAACACTTTCCTTGCCTCACAATCTCTGTAGAGCTGGTGAGTAGGAAGAACAGGGTTTCACAAGCTTTCCACAAAGGTCTTGGCCCCTAAAGAATACAAATATTTAAAAGCCCAGGCTTTTAAATAGTATGGTTGAAAGATAATTGGTTTGTTTTATAAAGATCTGTTGCATACCTAATTTTTTCTCTCACTTACAATCAGTTCTTCTTCTTTGTTATGTTAATGCTGTGATCACACAGTATTCAACTAGGATGCTGCCTTTTCCAAACAGTGAAACTTCCACATCTCTTGTTTCTTTTAGTGGTATCATTAGCTACTCTAGAAATCATGATTTTTATTCATTTTCACCTTTGGTGTGCTCTCCTCCCCCATCACCACCTTTGTTGTAGTACCTTTCAGTAACAGTCATTCTTCAGTAAACATACTGTCTCACATACTGCCAGCTGAGTTTAGTGTATAGTTATCAGAACACACACATGATGAAGTTTGGTTTCTTTGATGTTCAAAAGCTTTTGACATATAGCCCAAGCTATCTTGGAACTATATTCCAAATTACCACCCTCTGGTTCTCTGGATGTGTCCCGTTCATTCCCAACTCACAGAATGGTGACATTGGCCCTTCTACTTGGAGTCTTTCTCCTCTCTTAAACCTTCTCTTTCTTTAGCACTCAGCATCAGTGCTACCTCCTCCACAGTCTCCCTTGTCCTTACAGTTCTCTCCTTGTTTTGTTTGTGCTTGGTAATCTATATGAGTATTATTACAGTTTCAAATGTTCTATGGAAGAGGATTTTTTTTTTTTTTTTTATTAACTGTTATTAGCTCTTTGCAGTTAGGCAGATCTTAGAGCTCATCAGCATATTCCATGTCACAATATTAAGTATGGAGTTTTCTTCCACTTCTTAAGGGAAAGCGGGGTAATAGAATACAATAGTTTTTCTATTTCAAAATGCAAGATACTTTTATCTGAGTCTCACAAAAGCCCCTAGAAATAAACATAGTTTATTCTTTTAGCAGTGTAGAAACTGCAGCACTCTGAACATCCTGTGCTCAAAGAATGGTCTCTGGGTTGCTTCAACATAGTAAGCTTGCTTGTTTCTGTCTCAGAACTAGGTATTTTGTTCTGTGCATGAAACCATGTCTCCTCATCCCCATCTTCCCATAGTCATCTTCCTCTAGTTTTTGTGTCATCTGAAACATCACCTCTGAAGAGAGGCCTACGTGGGCCCCCCAGTATAGGAACCTCCTTCATGCTTAGCCTGGTCATTGCTCTGTTTTCTTGAAGGCTTTAATGAGTATCTCTTATGATATATATATATATATATATTTTTTTTCTTATTGATCCATTCATTCCACTGGAGCATCAGGGAACCTGTTGTTTGTTCACCACATTTGCCAGCTACTCCTAGAACCCAGAGCAGAACTGATAATGCCAGTATAGGTTGAATGGATTTTAAGTGAATGAATTGAGAACATTCCACTTAGATTTGATATTTTCAGTTTTTTTATGCTTAATCCTTTGCTTTTGATTTTGTTTTTAATATTGACAACATAAAATATATTTTGAATTCTTTTCTTGGCAGTTATCTGTGTCAAGCAGTAGTCGCATTGTGACCCATGACATCCCCATAACGATTATTCCTAGAAGATTGTGGAAGGACTTACAAGAACCCTCAGTCCCAGATTCTGATGTGAGTGAGGCCTGCAGTCTTGTTGCTCATTGCATATTAAAGGGTGTGTGTGTGTGTGTGTGTGTGTGAGTGTGAGTGAGTGAATTAATTTTAATTGTCTTGCAGTATATTTTATTTGAAGGTTGTGTAGTACCTGAAATGAAAGTGGTATTATTTATTTTTAAAGGAAAAAAAATTAAAATGTTTTCTTTGATTTATTTAAGCCATCTTAAATCACTGTTGCATATAGTAGAAATACCATCCTCTCTACATATAAGAAGTAGAATATCTTGCTCAGATAGTTTATATTTATTAGAACTCTTGGCCTTAGGCACCAAGTTGAGTTTCACAGTACTTGAGGGCCAAATATGTGTTAAAAAGCCACAAGGAGAGACATTTGCATGACCTGGAACTTGATAGGAACCCTGGAGCTACTGAAAATAATGATGAAGCCAAAGAGTCCTTTGCTTTTTGCTCACAATTACAAATATATACTGGAAATTATAATTATACTGGATGGAACATGTACTTGTTGTTTTCACTAGGAAACAACAACACAAACTAGGAAAAAGCCAACCTGTTGTAAAGCACTGCTAATGACAGCCCCAGGTGAGAAGCAGTGGCTGCTGCACTGTATTTTTGTGCAGAGTGCACAAAAGGCCCCTGAGACCTGGCTTTGTACATCCCTCAGGGCAAGTCTTCTGCCCAGTGCTTGAATTTTATTCCCTTGGGCTCATATACAGGCATCTCAGTTGTGGCACTCTGGTCCTCAAACCAAAGGAATGCCCATAGGGATGTAGTCGCTGAGGTAACCAGAGGCAGGCATTCATTTCTTTAATTTTACTCAAATGCCTGTGAGTTAATGAAATTATACAGTTGTTTTCCTTTTGGTATTTAAAAAAGAACTCTATTCAGAAAATTAAAAACCAGGAATTCAGAGTTCTTAAGCATGTGTGCAATCCCAAATTAGTTATTGAGCAACTTTTCGTAACTAGAATGTATTAATTTTTTTATACTTGTGATTGCTCTTATTGGTTTTGTAGGTGAGTATTTATTTGCCAGTCTTGAAGACTATGAGGAGTGTTGTAGAAAAAATGAAAAATATCAGCAATCATCTTGTAAGTAATAACTTTTTTTTTTTTTTTCTATAATGTTAGCCTCCTTTTGGGAGGACAGCCTACCATGGACTTGGGTATGGTGCTCCTGTGCCACTGTGAGACATCTGAGGCATCTCACTAAAATCCTTGTGAGGCCTCGCCTGGTGCTAAGAACAAGCAGTTTTACAGTTGCCTTTAGAAACCTCTTCTAGTGCGTTTCAACTATCATTCACTGGGGAAGGCTTTCTATTTATTCTTAATCCCTCATGTCTATGGGTATAGTTTATTATGAATATGTTTAACAGTTCTGCTTCTTTTTCTTTATTTTAGACAGCAACTTCCATATTTTATCTGCTAATGTGTATATGTTTTTTAAAATGAATCATGGATTCGGTTGACAGTGTAAAATGTTCTATCTGCTTGCCAAATGTCTTTCAGTAAACCATAAAGATCCCTCACACCTCAGCAGTTTTTTAATTCCAAAAGATCTCACACCAAACCAATGGATGCTTGTATTTTTCTATTTATTCTGTGAAGGTCTCCTTCTGCCATGTTCAAAATACTACAATATGCGGCAGTGATGAAGAATTGTGTGGATTGTCCTCCTACACAGCAGGGCTTATCCTGAATTTTACTTTCACATCCCCACCCCCAAAAAAGGAAAAAAAAAAAAAAAAACACATTTATATCCTTCCATCTTTAAATGCCACATTTCACTTTATAAACTTAAACCTCTGATCTTCCCAGTCACATGGAGATGTGGCTGGGCCATATCTCTATGGGACCAGGCTACACTGGGTTCTGTGGGTTCTGTGGGCTATAGGTCCACACTGGGCTCTACCACATCTAACAATTCCTCTCTTCTTTTTGGGTTTTGTTTCTTGGCCATTTCACACTCAGTTTCTTATGTCTGTCATCTCCTGGGAAGCGCTTAAACATTCTCACTGTTCACCCCAGACCCTTTCCCACAGTCTGGCAGAAAGCCCCTCCTCCACTGAACTCCTTTCTTCAGTGTACACCATAAACCTGCCAGTATCAGAACTTCAACTGCCATCTTCTGGAAAGGAGAGAACCTGTCTTATTCTGTGTTCCAGGACCCAGGGTAAGATTGTCACTTGGTGTGCAGTAATTAGTATTGCTGCATGGATCTGGTGTGAAATTTAGCTTGGAATTTTAAAAAAAGGAAAGTTTTTTTTTGAAGCCTAGAAAATGTTCATAGGCCATTTTATCTCTTTGAGTTCTGCTCACTTAAAAACAGTGCTGACATTAGGCTTATCCAGCTGAAAGCTTTCTCATGTAATTTAATCTTCACAGAACCCATTTGAGGCTAAAATCTGTTTCCCATGAAGCAATGCATTGTGCTTACTGTGGTGTCCACCATGATGCTGATCCAGTTGTCAGGCTGGCTTCCTCTAGGATCTCCTGGGATTTCCAGAGAGTTTCAGAGAGACCCAGGGGAGAAGATGTGGCAATTATCGGAAGGGCATATTTGTTCTTTCTGTTCCATGGAAATGAGTCAGCAAAATAGAGAGGTTGAAAGTGGCATAGATAAAACCAGAAATGTTAGTTTTCCTTTTTAGGAGTGTTTAAAAATGTCTACAAGTTTTATGGAGTGACTATTATAATGTGAAATTGCTAAATGGAAGCTTACCAAGTTAGATTAGCTGAGTATTTAATGAGATTATCCTGGATAACCAGAAGTCTGTGTCTGAAAATAATAGGTAGTAGAATTAAGGAAAATGAATGAGACTCTACCCTCCCCTAAGAGATGCTTGATCCCTACCTTCCTTCATTTAAGGCAAAAAGGCTGATAGGATTGGGTTGTATATGTGAGTCACATAGAAAATGGAGCAAATACCACCAGGAGTCCATGCCATCTTCTGACACATTGCTTCTAAGCCACCTGTGCACAAGAATCCCTGAGATCTGGTTAGAATCTGGTTTGAATTTGGGAGGAATGGGCTGGGCCAAGGCTCTGCACTTCTGACCAGCTCATGGTGCTGTTGCTGCCTGTCTTTGAATCACTCCCAGCAGCAATGTTTAGTGATGCGTGCCATGCTATAGGTCATTTGAGAGAAAGGGCCTTCACAAGATCAGCTTAATGATTAAAATAAGAGAACATGACTTAAGGGTGGGAAGCAAAGTGATATGTGGTGGAGGAGGGGTGGCATTGTGAACCTTAGTGTAGAGTATTATTACCCTAAATGGGACAATAGTAGAGCTATCATGGGTTTTGTCACTTATTATATATTGAGAGATAATAATTTGTGGTAGGTTCCCAGTATAGTTCATTGGTGTTCAATGAATGGAAGGTAACAATTATTAAGGAATTCATTGAAAGAAGTAAGATCCTGTCCTCATAATTAAGAAATTGATTATGTTGATGCACATAGTAGTTCAGATAACTGAATCATAAAAATCAGTGATTGATGTTCAGAGAATTGGCTGTTAATTCCTTCAGAGTGTTAATTGAATGCTACCATGTGCCAGACTGGGTGGGATCAGAAACAAATTTGAATCTAATGTTCCATTACACATATTTTAGGAATTGGAAAAAAGCATAAGAGCCTGAATGTAATTTAGAACCAATGCAAGTTGCTTTTTTGACCAAGAATTTGTTTCTAAAACCACTCTCCTTCAAAAGCAATGGGAATTTACAGATCTCCGTTATGTGGTTGTTTGAAACAAATAGGTATATGTCATGTGCTAGCTCTAAAGAGCCCCACTGAGTGATCCAGAACATTCACAAGGATGGTTTTATTTATTTTATTTTAATAAAATATTGTTCCAGATTAGAGGACAGTAGGTTAATAAATATACCAGTATATTTCTGTGCTAATGAAAGACTTACGATGAATGTTTTTTATTCAAAAGTAAATTTACAAGATTATACAAAAAGTGAGTTTAAGGGGGACTTATTCTGATGTCAAAAGCTCAGAAATAAGAGTTCACTCAAGTTCATAAAAACTTTTGTTTCTGGAATCTGAATGATTCAGAGTTTGGCAGTTTTAAGGCATGAGAATGAGAAACACTAAGTGATATTCCCTAAAATGGGTGCTCTAGCAGAGTTGTGCAGAAGGGTACTCTTCCGCTCCATAAAGATCTCTCTGCCCCTCTCCCAATAGCACTTTCAAAGATGTGTGGGGCCTACTAAATCAAAGGCCTGTACTAACCTGTACTCACTAAACTCTAGTTTAGCTGGCACACTTCACTACTGGTTGGCAGAGTGCTGATAGCAAACTCTATACAGGCTTTAACAATAGGCAGATGCCAACATCCAAAATAGAAATACTGTGTCCCTGTGGTCATGGTAGTGCATACCTGCCTCGGGAGACTGAGGCAGGAATTTGAGGCCAGCCTCAGCAATTTAGCAAGGCCATTAGCAACTTAGTGAGAACCCTATCTCAAAAGGGGCTCAGGATGTAGCATCCCTGGGTTCAATCCCTAGTACCAAAAAAAGAAATGAAAGACAGTGTCCCATGAGCAGGTTAGCAAGACTCAACGCACATTGTGCTTGTATTTCACTTCATTTACAATAACCAGTAAGTTGGTGGATTGGTGGAGTGAAGGGAAGAACTTGAAAGGAAAGGAACCCCCTGTGACCTTTGTGGCCAGTCCCAGATGGGAAGAGCAGGAGTGAGCTGGGTGTGCCTATAATCCCAGAGGCTCAGGAGGCTAGACAGGAGAATCGCAAATTCAAAGCCAGCCTTAGCAACCTAACGAGGTCCTGAGCAACTTGGTGGGATTCTGTCTAAAAATAAAATATAAAAAGGGCTGGGGATGTAGCTCCATGGTTAAGTACCCGTGGGTTCAATCCCTGGTACCAAAGCAGGGGAAAAAGAGCAGAAAGAGCAGGAGTTGCAGAGAGGTCTGTGATAGAGGAGAAGGGAGGGACAAAAGTCTTAGTCCTCTCCCCAAGCTGTGCTATGGGTGCAGAGACTAGCCACCAGCAACATTGTGTCTTGCTCAGTTCTCGTTACATGACAGCAGCCCCTTACCTTTTTGAATCTGGAAATCTCATTTGCCAACATCTAAAGTATTTTCAGGATAAATTATTCTCATAAAACTCTGAATGTCTCTATGGTCATACTAAATTTGTAATTATGCCAGATAGTTTGGTCCATTTATAGAAATAAGGCACTAATTTCTATGTTACCTTCCCATTCTCCCTGCTCCTGCTTTTTAGTAATTGTGTTTAGGTCCACATTGTCATAGAGTACAATTATTGTACCTTATTATCTTCCCTTATTATTAATTTTGGCTGTACAGATAAAAGCAGCCATATCTGTCTTTGTGTTGTAACTGCAATAATTTTTTGTTATCTGATGCTTATTCTCTAGCATCTCATTCTGGAAGGACTTGAAGGCCGAAGAATTTCATTAGCTGGCCTATGTTCATGACGTCATTTTGTTCATGATGTTCATTTGTCACTTGTTGGCTCACTGTACTTTATTGTCTTTGTTATATAATGCTGCTGTCAGAGAGACTAATGTCATTCTGATTTTGTTTCATTTTTTAGTAAGTTGGATTATTAATTTGAGGTAAGGGGACATAAATACCCCAGAGTTTGTTTTGTTTTTGGTGTGTGTGTTGCTTTTATTTTCTTTGAATCCCATTGTCTTGACACCTGGTCCACTTCACCAGGTGTGGGGAGTATACCTTCTGTGTGTTAGCCAGCCTTCCTTCACGTCAGGAATGTTTTGAACTATGACTGTTAGCACTTCTTTCTTTTTTTTTTTGGATTGAACCCAGGAGCGCTTAACCACTGAGCCACATCCCAGCCCTTTTTATATTTTATTTAGAGTCAGGGTCTCGGTGAATTATATAGCGCCTCACTAAATTGCTGAGGCTGGCTTTGAAATCACAATCCCCCTGCCTCAGCCTCCAGAGCTGCTGGGATTACAGGAGGGATTACACTGTGCTAGCTAGCATTTCTTTGTACCCAATCCTTTGATTTTCTTCTTCTGGGACTCATTGGACGTGGATCTTCTTCACTTCCATATCTGTTTTCTTTCAGATTCTTTTTAGCCCTTTATTTCTCTTTGGTAATTTTTACATTTTTGCCTTTCTATTACAGCTTTACTTACTGTGGTCTTTGGTGCTTATTTGTTCTTCTCTCTCTTCAAGTTTAGTTTACTTTTGGAAATTTTCTTATATTTCTAACCATTTCCTGAGCTCTGCCAGCTCTTTTTTTTTTTTTTTTTTTTAATGGATTTGCTGTGTGGTCTTTTCATTTCTAATCTTCCCTAATTCTGATTTACTGCTGCTCTTTCCTTGCTTCTATTGTTTGTTTATTCAAGTTCATTTTCTGCATTTGCTTGTGGAGTATTTTCAGGTCTTTTCATATGCTATTTGGGTATTATTATTTCTGTTTCTCTTTTTTCTTCGAATACATATAGAATTCAGTCACAGTCTGAATTTTTTATTGATTTTTTAAAATAAATGACATTGGAATGTATTACAATTTCTATTACACATTTAGAGCACAATTTTCATATCTCTGGCTTATGAAAACTTGTGCTCTAAATGTATAATAGAAATTATAATATACAATTGTAATAGAAATTGTATATACAGTATATTCACACCAATTCATGTCTTCATACGTGTACTTTGGATAATGATGTCCATCACATTCCACCATCATTGCCAACCCCATGCCCCCTCCCTTCCCCTCCCACCCCTCTGCCGTATCTAGAGTTCATCTATTCCTCCCATGCTCCTCCCACTACCCCACTATGAATCAGTCTCCTTATATCAGAGATAACATTCGGCATTTGTTTTTTTTGGTGTTGACTAACTTCACTTAGCATTATCCTCTCCAACCCCATCCATTTACCTGCAAATGCCATGATTTTATTCTCTCTTATTGCTGAGTAACAGTCCATTGTGTATATATGCCACATTTTAAAAATGTATCTACTGAAGGGCATCTAGGTTGGTTCTACTGTTCAGCTATTGTGAATTGTGCTGCTATAAGTAGTATGCTGTTTTTAAGTCCTTTGGGTATAGACCAAGGGGAGGAATAGCTGGGTCAAACGGTGGTTCCATTCCCAGTTGTCCAAGGAATCTCCATACTGCTTTCAATATTGGCTGCACCAGTTTGCAGTGCCGCCAGCAATGTATGAGTGTACCTTTTCCCCACATCCTGGCCAACTTTTATTGTTGTTGTCACCAAACAATAAAAAGTTGTTGTTGTGTTTTTGGTTCTTTTAAGAAGTTTCATTGTAGATGTGTGAATGAAGACAGTTTTCTAACTTTTCACAGCTTCTTTATTCTTTAAAATATTAAGGCATATAGACTGGGACCATCTCCCTAGGACTTTCTGAGACTTGTCCCTCTTTTCCTCCCCTTTATATAACCTTCCTTCACTTTACTTCCAAGATTGTGCCTCCTGTTAATTGTGTTTTTACTTTTCTCTGTTCCTTTTCAGTATAGGGCTTCCTTATCCTGTAAGGGAGCCCTCTGCCCAGGCATCCAGAGCCAGGTCCCGTAGCCATTGTTTCCAGCAAGGCCCCTCCCACTACCCCTGCTTTCATGTCTCTCACTGATTTCTCCACTAAGGGAACCTTTCTTTTGGTGTCTTAGGGGAATATCTGAGTTCTGGGCTCTGAGGACTTATCTCCTCTCTTGTCCTTGACATCACCATGATCTAAGTGCCTGAGGTGTTCTGAGGTTTAACAGGTTGCCTGGTCACCTGACTTTGTGGAAGCTAATATCTGTAGGGTTCTTTTTTTTTTTTTTTTTTTGCCTTCCTTGTCTTTTTAAGACAATTTTACAATATTCAATTTGTAGATTATTGAAGCAAACCTAAATGGAGATTTGAACTTGAAGATAGAAACTGAATTAGTATGTATTACAACTCATTTTAAAGATCTTGGAAATCCTCCATTAGGTAAGTTTTCTTGTGGATTATATTTTTCCGTTGATAAGTTATTTCAGGTAACATGTGCTTTGAGGTCTCAATGTAGAAAAGTTGAAATTCAGTTTATTCAATTTCATGCTTGAGAAGTCCAAGCATTTCCTGCTTGGACTATCTGTCCCTACCCTATAGTGGGACATTAGCCATTGGGGGAAGGGGCTGAGACACCAGGCAGCTGAGGGAACTGCACCTCTCTAGAACTCAGATCATACTAAATGAGCTCCAAGATCCTTTCTAGCTTGTCAGTCCATTCTGCTCTGAGAGATTTCAGTTTCCGTCCTGGAATATGCTCAGAAAGGCAGGTACATTTCTTATTTTCTCCTTCTTTAGTCACTCCAATATTTATAAAATTAGATTAGCAGATATAAAATGTGATACAGATATACTTAGTCAGGTAATGAAGGACTGTGGAGTTGGTTCAGCAAGCAGTGAAGGAGGAGATTGAACAGCATGCTGAGCAGTGAGGCCAGAGGAGCTGGCACATGTGGCTCAAGCAGATAAGCAAAAGACCAAAGAAAAAGTATCTGCAAACAATGTCAAATTATTTCCTGACATATATATTTATTTGGAAACAGGTGAAATAGTTCCCAGTCACCTTTAAAATTAAAATTTATTACTACATTTGCTTATCTATACATAGATAAGCAATTTTAGCATAACACTGCAAAGGATTTTTACTTTGTAGTGGAGTGTATACTACTCTAGCAGAGTAAAATCTGTATGATTAAAGTTGAACAATACTGCATGGAATGACTTATTTTGGCATTATTTATTTTATTTATTTTTTATTTTTTAGTACAAGGGATTAAAGCCAGGGACTTAAACTTAACCATTGAGTCACATTCCAAGCCCTTTTTTATTTTTTATTTTGAGACAGAGTCACACTAAGTTGGTAAAGATCTCGCTAAGTTGTTGAGACTGGCTTTGAACTTGTGATCCTCCTGCCTTAGGGGCTCTGGGATTATAGATGAGCACCACCACACCTGGCTATTTTGTTTATTTTAATAAATACAAAACAGAACTACTTTTGGTACTTTCCCAGAAGTTGAAAGACTCTTTTATTGCATTCTACTTTAGAATAAGAGGTTTTGTATTAGCTATCTACATTTCAGCTTTTAAATGCATAGTAAGGAGCTGAGTGTGGTGGTGCATACCTGTAATCCAAGGTATTCAGAAGACTGAGGCAGGAGGATCAACAAGTTCAAGGTCAGCCTGGGTAACTTAGCAAGACTCCTTCTCAAAATAAAATAAGATGTATTTTCTAAAGAGAAGGAGATGGAGAAGTGGCTCAGTGGGAAAGGGCTCGTGCAAGAGATCCTGGGTTCAGTACACAATACCAAAAATAAATAAGTAGTGAATATCAAATATAATTTTCTTTCACATAAAGGGGAGGTTGAACCATATTTCAAGTTCTTGTAAATGAAGATGCCCTGGAAATGATCACAGTACTATTGATTGATTGATTGATTGATTGATTGATTGATTCCAGGTATTGAACCCAGAGGCACTTAAGTACTGAGCCATATCCCCAGCCCTTTTTATATTTAGAGAAGATAGGGTCTCACTGAGTTGCTTAGGAGCTCACTAAATTGCTGAGGCCGGCTCTGAACTTGAAATCCTCCTTAATCAGCCTCCTGAGCTGCTGGGATTACAGGCGTGCACCACTGTATTTGGCTTATTACAGTATTTTAAATAGTTATGACCAAATAAATACTCATGCAATGAGTGACAGTATTTACAAGTTGTTATATTTCTCCAGGGTACTAAAATCAATTGCAAGGTGAAACATTTATTTAAGTAAGCATGTTTTGTGTATTTCTGGATTCTGTTACTTCCAAGGATGTTATACTTTAAAACATTTGTGTCATTTTAGCCTCTGAAAATACTTCTCAGAACAGAAACCCAGAAGAGATGGCTGAGGTGCACATAGATATCAAGAAGCTCCTCCAATTTCTTGCTGGACAGCAGGTGAATCCTACAAAGGCCATATGCAGTGAGTTTGCTTCTCTGTTTTTTGTTTTGGGTTTTTTTTTGTTTTTTGTTTATCTTAGGCAGTTTAGGTCACTCTAGTCCAACAGATTGCATGCCATCTTATAAATGCAAAATGATCCCAAGTATATGGACTTAAGCTTTCTAGGATAGTCAAGTTCTTAAAATTTGCCTGGATTTAGAAGCATCTAGAGGAAAGCCTACAGCCACACTGGGTAGGCATGTGGCCTGCCTCATGCGGCCACCACGCAGAAGGTCATTCTTGCAGAGACACTGTCAGGAGGACCACACAGATGGCTTCTGTTCACCAGGTTCCTCAGATTTTACACATTCAGAGTCCCCTGTATGCTGTGCTTAGATCTGAATTTTCATTCACAGTGTTTTGCTTCCTTTGTTTGTCCACCTTTCCTGTGCTCACCACCAGAATCTCCTTCTCAGATGCTGGTTATTACTGATTACCTCTCAATTCTGGCTTAATCCCGACTCTGAGGTCACACACCTACCCTGGCTCTCCTTATCTACTGGCCACATGTAGGCAGGACATTCTTGTCAAGGGCTTCTCAGGGTGTTTTCTGCCTCCTTGCAGCAATCTAAAAGAAATTGAAGCTCCTCCTTTTGTGGAATAGCTCCAAGGCTGACCCTTCAGACACTAGTGGATAAAGCTGAGGAGAATGGCCCAGAACAGTACCTTAGAACATTTGGATCTTCACTACACTGTAGAGAAGAAATAGAAAATTCTAGGTGACTCTGTCAAAGAGAGACACGGAGAAAGCACTAAGAATAGAGAGGAGGGACTCTGGGAGGGGTGGTGGCATCAGGTACTCAGGGAAGGTGGCAGATGGAGTATGTAGCACAGTTTGCCCAGTGTAAGGGGAATGTGGGCACTTGGGCCTTCTCTACATTGTGTCATTCACTGGTGGGCAGAAGCTTTTCCATGGAACGGTGTGATTGACTCTGTGTGGTTTACTGGGAAGCCTGCCTTTTGGGTTTGAACCTAAGACCTGGGAAGCTGTGTTCTTCTCTCATTTTTTTCCCCTGAGAGATGACAGTTGCCTGTGTTGTGACCTCTTCAGGGACCTGCTGAGAAGATAGAGACCTTCCATAGGAGGTGTTCAGTGTGGAAAAACTGCTCTGATGGGGGGCATGTGTGTTTTGTGATGAGTCTTTAAAATAGTGGCTCTTCTCTCCCCAGATATTGTGAATAATAGGATTGTTCATTTTGATTTGCTTCATGAAGACGTCTCCCTACAGTATTTCATCCCAGCATTGTCCTAGCACCACCTTGCCAGATTTGAAAGCCCAGAGGCCTTTGTCCTGATGGGAGAGGCAGTGGGGCAATGTGTTCTGAGTCACTTGTCTCTCCTCACAACACCACAAATCTCCACACCATGCTTATTCTTCCTCTATAATATTTTAACTAAAAATGAAATCAGTGCAACATAGTTGGATAAACATATTACTTTATATTATTTATGTCTGTTTTGTTTTTTATTTTTTATTTGCTTTTAAGACATTGAGAAGAAGAGCTAAAATTTATCCAGTCTTTATTTATTTTGTGGTGCTGGGAATGGACCCTAGCACTCTACTGCTGAGCTACACCTGGCCCTCTCCTCTTTAAACAGCAGTTTCTCATTGAAGTTATGAAAATCCTCACACACGTGGAATCAGTGTCATAGAATTCATAAGAGTGTTGCCCACGGAACTTGGAGTTTTCCCCCAAGTACAACCTCTAGCTCAGCACACTGTTGGCCACTATCAAATTTCAGCATGTTTCTCTCTCCTTGCTCCCATCCCCAAGAGCCCAGTGATAGAAAAGATGGTCCTTCTGTCCCCCACAGCACCTGTGGTTATTTAGTGCTCAATAACTGCAGCATAGGACCCTCTGTCCAACTTGCAAAGAACTCGAGCCCACTTGCCTCTCTGCACCCTGAAAGCTGGCCCAGACAACATGGTTCTCAGCTGCAAGCTTGTCCCTTCCTTCTGCTGCTCTCACTGTCTCCCTGGGGCCAATTTTGCTCTTAAGTTGTTTTTTGCAGTGCCAGGAGTTGAACCAAGGGCCTTGCATATGCTACACTGAGCTACATCCCCAGTCCTTTGGTTTATAATTCTTTATAGTGTTTTTTTTTCTCTGTGGTACATCAGATCTTTCATTTTGAGAAGAATTTGCATTAAGAGTAGAAAAAAGGAATTTCTAAGTTAGCTTTTGTGTTAAATGATGAGACCTTGTTTCCGTTTATGTATCAAAGCTGATGCAGTTGTGATGGATGTGCTTCCTCATTCTCCCTGAAGCACATTCCATCATATTTCCTATTTTAATTAAATCTCATGTGACCTATGGAGGTGGACATAATACATAGAGTATTGTAATATCTCATTACAAAGTCAAGACCTATTTTGTTTAGGATAAGATGAAGAAATGGAACATCAGCAAAAATGAAAATCTCTTTTGGCTTTATTATTTGATAAAACCAATGTATGTGAATGACTTTTCTGGTTTTTAGTAATGTTAGTTTCAGTAGGATGTTCTATTTTGTGAAGCTAACGTTTTAAAATCAGACATTTTAGTTTTGAAATGCTGTCTCCCTTCTTGGCTTGTAATAAAATCAATTCCCACTATAGTCATAAAACCTAAAAATCATGATGCAAAATAGAATGATATCTGAAAATTATTTTATAAAAAATTATGTTTGTGAAAATGTGTTATGACTTACCAGTTGTATAACATTTATTATCAGTGTATCTGAACTGTATGATTTTATGGATAGTTCAGGATTTCCTGTCCTTGGAATGTGGCTAAAGAAGTCCTCATTGGCAGTGGGGAGGCTACAGTCTTTCTGATTTTTGTCACAACTTGCTTTGTTTTGTTCATCAAGTCTCCTACTCTTTGCATCTCACAGACCTATACGATGAGGGAGGGAACTAGTAGAAAACCACAAACTTAGGAAGTGTATGGGGTTGCTTTATTGAACAGTGTGCCAAGATAAGATTATGTAAACAAGAAATAGCAATTTAGTTCATTCAGAGGACCAAAGATAACTTCTGGATTTTGGAAACACACTTTTACTGGCTGTGCATGTGTAAGAATTTAGGTTTGAGGAGCACTGTCCTAAATGTCAGAGCCAGTAAGGCATCCTCTTGCCTTGCCTGCATGGGCTCAGAGCCCAACTTACCTTTGGTAGCCCCATCTTTTGTTGTTGTTGAACTGGGCATTGAACTTAGGGGCACTTTACCACTGAGTTACATCCTCAGTGGATTTTATTTTTTATTTTGAGATAGCATCTTGCTAAGTTGCTGGGGTATCCCTAAGTTAACTGAGGCTAGCTTCAGACGTTTAATCCTCCTGCCTCAGCTTTCTGAGTTGCTGGAATTACAGGGTGCATCACTATGTGCAACTGATAGCCACATCTTGAACTGAGTTTTGAGACCATCCTGAGTAAGTCAGGGAGACATAAGAATTTCTAATCCAGGTACTCAAGCTCACATCCAAGTGGCCTTGCCATCTTCCAGCAGCCTTTCCTTAGTTCAGCAGGGAATTACTTACCCATCAGGTCTCAGATATAGTTTATTGGATAATGCTTCCCTAGCACAAAGTACCCTGCTCTTGCCCTGAAAAGTGGCATCAGCATTAGTTCTGGAGCAGGAATTCTGATTCTGTCTCAGTGAAATTTCTTAATGATGTTCATATTCTTGGTATATGCTGCCAAATGGATAGAGTATTCATCTTTTTGAAGAGAGATACAATTCTATGCATTTTTATTTTAAAAACTTTATTGAAAGTCACTGATCATACAGTTAAGCCATTAAAGTATTCAGTCTGGTGGGTTTAGTTCGTTCACAGGCCTTGTGCAGCCACCACCACAATTTTAGAACTTTGTCATTACCCAATAAGGAAAATCCCAAACCACTCAGTCATTCCCATTTCCAACCCCTGCTCCACTTTTCCTTGCAGGCAACCCAGTTGTCTACTTTTCTGCCTCTGTACATTTGTCTTTTCTGGACATCTTTTTAAAGCTCCTCCTTTCTAACTGTAATTAGATATACTTCGATCAGTATTTCCACATACCTACCTTCGCCACAGCCACACAACCCCTGGTGACCACTATTCTACTCTCTACTTCTATAATTCCACATATGAATCATATGAGCAAAATCATACAATGTTTGTCTTTCCATGCCTGATTTATTTTACTTCACATAACTTCTCCAGGTTCATTCATTCATGTTGCTGCAAATAATTATAAAAGGTTATTTTAAACTGAACTTTGGTCACTAAAAAAATCTTTTAAAAAATCTAAGTCTTCTTATCCTCACATTATTATTGTTGTTGTTGTTGTTGTTATTGTGTGTGTAATACTAAAGGCCTCACATATGTTAGGTAAGTGCTTTACTGCTGAACTACAACTCCAACCCTTTTTTAAAAATTTATTTTGGGTTTCACTAGGTAGTCCAGCCTGGCCTTAAGCTTGTGATCTTCTTGCCTCAGCCTCCTGAGTAGCTGGGATTACAGGTGTGCACTACTGAGTCTGGCACATTTTGAATTTTTAATGTCACAATTTATAACTTTTTATATTACATAATCCTTAACCATTTGTAATTGGTGGGGAATACAAATGCCATCTCCAGATTACTTTTTCTACAGTAGAAATCATCAATTCAGGGAAATTTGCTGCAGGTGGCACTCCATTGCCTTGATGGGGAGGAGCCTCACAGAGAACTTTCTCTTAACATATGATTGCAGTTTTTCTCATATCTGTGATTCAAGGGGCAACACAGCTTCACTGAGTTCTGGAGTACTCAGGTGGTAATCTTGCCACTGAATAGTTGTGGTAGGAATTCTGTGGGCATGAAAAGAAGCTGAGAACTCCACCATTTTGCTGACATTACTCTTTAATTCTGAACTTTGTAAGGATTCCGATAGGGAAAGTCTGAAAGGAAGCTCAAATTTTTTGGACTTTCAGAGCTGCTTCCAAATACAGTTGTTGAACTAAGACAAAATCATTTTTT